TGGACGTTGTAAGAGTTCATGCAAAATGGATAAAGAATATTAAAAGATCTGGTGGACATGGTGAACTTTGGATATTAAGTCACATCATTCGATACAATCAGCGTTGCCAATGACAATTGTTCAAAATCCCCAATAATCACGGTTAAAATCCCCAAATTGGGGAAGACCAAAGTTCATATTCTCCACAAATTCTTCACATCTCGAGTTTTCATTATTTATTACAAATACATCGCTTAAAAATATAATAAAGAATTAAGAAACTCAAAATGTAATAATCTATTACGTTTGCTGTGAATGTAAACAGAATGTAAAATGTAAAACTAATTATAAAATTAGATGACCTTAAATCGTTTATTTATTTTAATTAGTTTCAACATTAATCTGTAAACAGTCTTTGAATAAAAAATAATTTTGCTTTGCTTTACAAAATTAAGTAAATTGATTATTTGTTGTGCATTTGGTGACACTATGTTAATGTTAGAAATAATCATTGAGTTTCGACCTACTTATATTTAATATTCAAAGTTGACGAGTGGTAAGTTGTGGTGTGGAAGTACCAACTGCTCGGCTGTGTTTATCAATAGCTGATTTCGTTTTGCTTCATACCGGGGACCGTCCTAAGCGGGAGAAAGAATCGCGAACTCAACACGCACCGACTGGTAATTTTACAATTCCGAACCAAGTGCTATAATAATAATTCTATTTAAGCTGCTTGTTATTAATACGAGGGATATGCGATGTTGAAAAACACGTCGATATAGTCCATCACAGTGTTTCTAACAGTAACGATCAAACTAGCGATGCACCAGCAATTGACAGATTAAACAAAATGATAAAATGTTAGAATCCCCACATTTTCCTCACATAGCGCCAATCCCCACAAAATCCCCAATCTAGTTGAAATTCCCCACAATTTGAGGAATTTTATAATAGTCGTAATTCGCGGGCGAGCCGGTCATGGCTTTGTTTGTTGACAAATAAATAAACATTGTGAAGTGATTCCGTGTTGTGAAATGAACGCGTAAACTACTGTACTTCAATGTTGTGTATGTGTATTGTGCCGTCTATCAATACAATACAGTGAAATCATTATGTGAAATATGGTTGGCGTTAAGAAATAACCTCAATTTTGTAATGAAAATTTTATTTCTTCCAACATAAGTTAGGTATGTCATTAAAATGTTCCTTATATTTATATAATAAATTCCCTATCATTTAAATATAAGGAACATTTTCCACCTTTCTAGTCATATATAACACATTCCATATCGATGCGACAAATTGGATTTTTAAATTGTTTTTTTTTTTTTTGACTTAGTGTTTTGAAAAGTTTTTTTATTGCATAATACGCTTACTATTCCTATAACTTTTATAAAGGTTTTGTAATACTGTCAAAAGGAAAAATCGCTTAGAAACATCGCGTTTTGTAGACAATCATAAAAGTAAAAGTAAGTAAAAATGATCTTTTCGTATTCTAAAGTTTTTCTATAGATAAACCTTTAGACAAAATGCTCCAACTGTCTTTTCTCTTCTAAATATAAAATTCTATATAAAATTCTTATCGCCATTTTTATTTTCAAAGAATGACTATGAAGTAGCCGAGAAAAATTTCTTTTCTTTTTAAAAAGTAAATCTAAGTTGAAATTAGCTTGAAGAAGCCTAGAACTTCTTGGAAATGGTTTGTTTTGTCAGTTATTTTGTATATTTAAGCTTTCTATAAATATTTAAAATCGAAAATCGATAACTGTATTTTTATTAAGTTTATATTTTATACATAAATATTTAAAATTTAGCGAACGCGTTACTTTTATGGTAAGTTTTACACCACTTTTCACAATGTATTTAAAGTCGCACGTCACGTCGGAATTTGAAGTCTTAAAATATTCATTCGAATTAAATTCTATTACATATCTTATAGTATATACACACATCAAAAAAAGTTTGCGATCACTTCGAAAAACTGAAATCTTTTTTGTTACTGTAGATTATATTATGATTTTTTCTTCTTTTTAGATTCTTTATTTAAAAATAAATTAGAACATGAAACAATGACCCCGTTCAATTGTTTTTTCATATAAAAAGGCTTTCAGTCCTAGCTTACGCTCATTCAGAAATCTGATTTAGTCAATTATAAGCGATTCAAGATATTTTTCGCGGAAAGTTGTGATTGAAAAAATGCCAAGAGGATTATCAGAGGTTTTACGAGCTAGAATAGTAACTTTGAGGGAAGAAGGATACACCACGTGAGTAATAGCACGCAGACTTGCTATATCCCAATCCTGTGTCGTGGCTACGTTGCAGAGGTATCACGGAATGGGGAATTTAGCTGACCGACCCCGCAGCGGTCGCCCAACTGTTTTGACAGCTGCCCAAAAGCGCTATATTAGATTGCTGGCAGCCCGTGATCCAACAATCAACGCCACTAAAATAAAAGCAGAAGTCAGGGCCGCCTCTGGGCTTGAAGTTAGCACGCAGACCGTTCGCAATTGCTTGCACCAGGCTGGATTACGAGCACGGAGGTCTTGGCGAGCTCCGCTCAATTCCCGGCAACGTCAACGACGAAGATTGCAGTGGGCTAGACTTCGGCAAAATGAAGAAGGTGAGGACGAAAACATTTGGCAAAACTGTCTCTTCGTTGACGAATCCCGAATCAGCACTCATCCAGATAACCGACGTGTCCGTGTCTGGAAAAGACCAGGCGACCGTGAAAGATAAAGAACTGCCACTGGAACAGTTCAGCAAGGCGGAAAATCGGTGTCCTTTTGGGGTGGCATTATGATTGGAGCTAGAACGCCTTTGATCCCGTATCGGGGCTTCATGACAGCAGACATGTACAAAGCAGTTGCTATTGATGATATCGTCAGACCATTCCGAGTAAACCATGGGCACCAATTTGTACTGGTCGATGATAATGCGCCCGCACATCGAGCTCAACGAGTCAATGCTGCTCTTCAAGAATACGATATCACACGATTAGACTGGCCTGCCGGCTCGCCCGACTTAAACCCAATAGAGCACGCGTGGGATGCTCTTAAACGAGCAGTATGGAACCGTGAGCCACGTCCCCAGACAGTTCCAGAGCTCAGGGAAGCCGCTATTGAAGAATGGGATAGGTTACCCCAGGAAATGCTGGATAACTTGATCCTCAGCATGCCCAGGAGGATCTTCGCATGTATTCGAGCCAGGGGAGGAGTTATTTTATATTGAATTCACACCTTTTAATAATAAATTGTTGTTTAAGTTTAATTAAACAGTCTTTTTCTTTCTATGAAATTTCTATCACTATTACATTATGATTAATGGCTCAATTTTTTAAAATAAATAATAAAAAATAGTTTTATATTTTAATTTCAAACAGGGTATTCCTATTTAAAGAAAGCATACAACATAGATTTTTTCTTGATAAAGTTAAATTTAAAGAATTATAGGAGCTTATGCTATTGATCGCAAACTTTTTTTGATGTGTGTATGTATTTAGATATGGGTGTGCTGCTTGAGTGGTATCTAAATTAATCCTTAAGAATAATAGTAAGTGTTAAATCATTAAGTTCATTATAGCAATGGGGTTAATTGAATACCAATGAAATATTTATTTTTTTTGGAAAAAAAAAACCCCCAACCGCAATAGTTTAAATTACATCAATTTGCCAGGTTTGTCAAATTTGCCAAGTGCTCGAAACCGGATTCATCCTCTAGTTTGCCACCCTTAGAAGTGGAGTACTTTCCAAATTTAAATGATACCAATACTAAGCTACCCTCGTTCCAACAAAAAATAATCATCAAAATCGGTTCACAAATGGCGAAAATGAGTTATCGCATGCATACATACAAAAAAATAAAGTCGAAATGAAAAACTCCTTTTTTTGAAGTCGGTTAAAAAGTAATATTAATGACTTTTGGTCAAACATACTTATCAGTACAGTTGGCTGCGGTAACATGTAGCGTAGTAACACGCAGTACGCTTGTTGAATTATCTATAATAATTAATCATAATCGTGGAGATTAAGGCAACAACTTATTTTTTACGTTCTAAAGAAGACAACTTACTGTACATGAAACGGTTCAATAACTCGTTTTATTAAACCATGTTATAAAATCATTTTGAACCGTGTTATAGAATCTTTTTGTATTAAATACCGTTGTCTCTATTGTAATAAGCAAACAAAAGTAATAAAATGAACAATACTTAATGATTTGAATTAATATTTCCTATGCAAATGGAGACATCATTTTAATTTTATTTTTGCTGCGGCGAGGTTCTGATTGCAATTCATAATGGGTGCAATTTATGAAACAAATTTCATTTTGTTCAACTCCAAATTAAGTTTTATCGGATTTGTCTGATTACTTTGTGTATAGAACGGCATTCATGCGCCACTATTGTATATTTTAAAGATTTGTGCAAACATTTCAACACTATGACTCAACTGGTTATAATTCTATGCGTTGTAGTAAAGGTGTTTCAAGTAAAGATTAATTACATTTCCTTCTTTCTTTATTATTACACTTTCGAACTTGTATTTTATCGCAATTTAATGCAGCTTAAAATATTATAATACTGTATGATAGTGTTGGTAGAGTTGGGATGTCTTTTTTTAATTATTTTTTTTTTATTCTTAATACATTTACACGTATGTAATTGCTTTATATGCCTGTACGCCGTAACCTCCTGTATATAAAGATCGATTGTTATGTATAAATCGGTTCAATCAAAAAAATAATTATCGGTAGCAATTCATAGCCCCGGTATTTGCTGGGTACGCTGTTCTTCCACTTTTATACCGAATTATTTTTATGTTTTTATTTTTTCAAGTTCACACTAACACTAGTTTAAGACCTCCTTTTACTAACAAATATATCATGTTGTCTGAGAATAAATAATTATTATTATAAATAAATAGTACATCTTTTTCGTTCATTCTTAAGTTGCCGTCAACTTGACTAATTTGATCGTGTACACGCTCAAAAGTAATACAAAAAAAAAACTAATTGAGACTCACTTCCATAGGCAGTTAGCCGTGGTAATTATAAGCCGTTGATTGAGAATAGCACCCGAACACCAATGCTCGCCGTCCTTCTGAATGGAGACCGTGTATGGGTAGGTCTCAATCATGCCGTCGCCGGATGCGATCAGCCGCCGCGAGCTCACTGCCCGCGACCCGGGGTAAATGAAAAACACATGTTATTTAATACCTTTATTAATTAAAAAACAAAAAACAAATCAATCTCAGTCCAGCATAATCATTCTACTAACCTGTTCGCCTGTTGTTATACCGCCGTGACGACGCGTTCGATTTAGTCCGTGACAACTTCTTTTTTTTGTCCGAATTCCTTTTGTTATCCTTTTCCTTATTTTTCAAACTCCTCGCCTTCGCTTTCCTGGATTTCTTGTTCTTTCTACTTCGGCTTTTTTTGCTGTTCTTTTTGTTGCTTCGTTTTTTGGCCTTTTTGCCGGTTCGTCCTGTTTTGTTTGTTGCTTTGCCGCCTGAGTGTCCTTTTTTGAGTTTTTGTATTGGCTTAGCTACGGGTTTTATGGTAGTGGCAGCAGGAGCTGAAGTAGCTGCAGGGTCGGCCACAGGGGCATCTAGTTTGTCTTTTTCTACTGGCTTTTCATTTTGCTTTCTTGTCGTTGCAACCAAAGCTGCCGGAACGGGCGGGGGCGCGGCTGCAAGGGCTGCAGGTGCTGCTGGGGCTATTGCAGCCGACAGGGGTGCTTTAGATCCTGATGCTGATGCTGATGCTGATGCAGATGCAGAAACGTGCGGACCTGATAAAAATGTTGGAGCTGCAGGAATTACAGCAACCGATGATACTGCAGACGCAGCGGGCGGAGGCTGTGGATCCGGATCCGCCGCGCGTTTCTTCCGCTGCAAGGCGCCATTATAATCCGGTAACACTTTCTTCACACGAGCTTTCGGCTCATCGTTTGCATCTATAGGGAAGTACGGACTGTTCGGTATGTCGATCAACTTTCTCTTGTCATGCGGCGGGAAGACTGTGTAGCCTCTGAGGTTACCACCATCTTTCTGCTTCAGAAGTTTCGACGAGTACGTCTTTTTGTTAAACCGCCGATGTAGCAACTTGGGCTTTTTGGATATATATGAGACTACTTTCTTAGGGAACGATCTCAAGATGAGCGACTTTTGTAGCGGCTCATTGTCTGCGGTTAGCGTAGTTATGTGTAACGTATAAATAAAAAGTAATAGAAACAACGTTTTCATCGTAGTGATGTTAAATTTGTGATCGGCGTTTGGGAAGTATTACATTAAAATAACATTCGCTTTATAGCCCCTCTTTTACGAGTTTTTTGATAGGTTTTGCCAATTGTACGATAAGATTTCAATTTCCTTCACACACATATCTATTCTGCGTGTTTTATTTTACTCCTTCATTTTATGGTCTACAAAGAGTAGACATGTTTCATAATTAGAACGTAAAACAAAAACACGTTTAGTTTTCATTATGTTCATTTATTTAAACGCTTATGTAGCTACTTCTTATATAATAATCTTATGTACAATCTATAGTACCTACCTATAGGAAAGCAACTGTGTGTTGTTTAATAATGTAAAACAAATGTTACAACAACACAGTACCCACACACCAACACCACTCGCACATTTCAATGTATATATACATATAAAATATTGACATTCGTTATATTATTAGTAAAATCAATATCATGCGGGGTTTGAAACTTCCAACTTTGAGATGAATTTTAATTCTAAGGGAGACGTGCCATTGTGCGTAGGTACATTGATTCATTATAATTTTTATATATCAGCATCCTCAACAACAAAATTATATGTCTCTCTGCTGAACACAGGTCTGTTCTAAAAAGAAAGTTTAGGCCAAAGATAGATTTAGAATTAGAGTGAATGAGTTCGTCCAAGTAAGTACTGCCGCCATGTTCAAATTACTGCTTGGCGGCCATTGACTTACAATTATATGGACGTCGGGTCCGCGCTAAAAAGTGTCCGCACTTGTAAGGCGCTAAAATCGTATACAGAGCGCGACACTCCACTTTAGTCTTCATTTGTTCTACTGACAGCGCGATACTGCGATGACATAACAATTTAAATTTCGAATAGGTTGACTTGGGACATTTTTTTCGTGGTTTTTGTATTAGACCCGTCGTCCATTTATTTGTAAGTCAATGTTGGCGGCAGACGTTTTTACAGCATCTCTGCTGCGGAGAGTGTCCACTCTCGTTACTTTTTAGTTTTCACTAAAAGACTTTTTCTTTTTCCCGAGCTTTAGATACCGCACCACGACTCCCACGTTGACGGTCACATTGCATTGACTGAACGACAACAAGGCTGTCGGCGAGCCGTTTACGCGCTAAAACGGCTTTAATATTTGAATATAGTTTTCATTTATTCATTACGAAACTTGTATGTTAATATATAACATCATTATACGTTACTATTTACAATGGTCGTGAATTCTGTTATGTTCGGCTGTTTATTATCATCTAAATGGGATAAAGAGAGAAGTTCCTTTCGTTATCCGAAAGATGAAACGAAGTAAGTAAAAGACACTTATGTCTGAGACTCATTTTGTTATTGTTTTCTTCATTTATTTAGTGCAGAATAATATTATAATACAGATTTATTATATCAATATAATGAGACGCCATAAGTTCGTAAGCTAGTAGACAAGGGTTCTTGAATTTTTAATTTGTATTGCCAATAAATAAAATATAGTGAATATACCTAAATATTAACTAGGTAATGATAAACTTGGACACGCAATTTCAAATACCTTGGTTACCGTATTTAAACGTACCTGTCCAAAATATAACATTTTAAGTGCTTTTAAAATATGTTTTTTAAATAAATCTTCAATATTATTCTACTTAGTGAATTCGAAAAGATTCGATTCGATTGAAGTGATTCGCGTTAGAATTTTCACTATGTTGCCGCTCTGACCACGTAACGTAATAGTACGAGAACTGACGAGTAACCCTGCCACTTCATGCACACATTTGCGCGTGTGCAAATAGCGCCTTGCTGTATGTAGTAATAGTAGTAGTAGGTAGGTAACTTTCGACCGTTGTACGAAGTGTCCGGGGTGGGTTGCAGGCCCCCCCGCTTAACAGAGTCGGTTCCTGAGGTAGCTGCGCGGTGCGGGAGGAGTGACAGATTACGTAACAGTTACGTCGCGCTGTACACGGGATAATTTGAACAAGATTTTTCTGACGATATTGAATAGCAAGTTGGTTGAAAAAAGTAGCTACTAAATTGATCAATTGTTGTTATGTGAAACAATTATAAAAAAACTATTTCATTGATAATTGAAATGAATAGACAAGCCATTTGGCACTCGTTCTAGTCTAGTGGAAAATAAATGAAATAATAAGATTATCTGTCTAAGTGTTAATCTGTTCACCATTATATTTAAATTGTACAATAACATTTCCAATTAACAATATTCCCTCTCCTACCGATCGGACTTCCGATCGGAAGACAGGGAAAAACCCGGTCTGGCTAACCTGCAGTTACTTTTTTGGCGTGGTAGCCCAATGTTTGGATATACCATCTCTCAAGCAGAGGGTCGTGGGTTTGAATCCGGGTATTCGAATCCTGCCTTTAAGCTTTCGGAATTTAGCGAAATTTAAATTAACCATGAGCTTTTCGGTGAAAGAAACCATGGTGAGGAAACCTATACATATCTGCAAAGCAAGTTAATGGTGTGAATTACAATGGGAATTACAGCCCAAGTCTTCCCATTGTAAGAGGACGCTTGTGTCCAGCAGTGGGACTATACGAGGTCAATTGTAGAATACTAATAACCTCGTAGGCTATATTACTAACATCATAAACAACAACTTTTGTTCCATGACTCCTTACAAAATAAACTTTTAAGTTTTTGTTGCACTATCTGACTCTTTTTAGATCTATATTTGGACGTAGATAAGCAAAAAGGATCCAACCCACAAAATTATCAAAAAATGAGTTATATGTACCAAACGGTTCCTAAAGTCTAACCTCTTACTAACATAAATAAATATCTCTGGAGTTCCATGACATTATAACTTTTGAAAATAAACCAAGAGTGAAAAAGAAACACTTTTAATAAAACTGCCATCTTTCGAAAGTGACTGTATGTGCATTGATACCTTTTGTTTATAGGAATGAAACTATTTTACTGACGGTCACGGTCAGTCAACCGTGACCATGGGACCTGTAAAGGGCCCGAAACGTCGGTTTGTTTGAAAAAACAAATATACGCGATTTAAATCCGGAAAAATAGTTTCATTCCTATGTATAACAATCGCGAAAACCTAAGAACTCGATATGTACACCAGTACGGACTGGATGTTGCAAATAAAATCCGGCGGTTTGAAGACCTCAAGAACAAACGTGCGCGCGCCCTAGCTGCATTAACTTTTCTCAAAAAGTGCCGCGACAATAACATAGTTCCAACATGCGTTAAAATAACTCCGCGAAGAGTCAACCGTGACCATGGGACCTGTAAAGGACCCGAAACGTCGGTTTGTTTGAAAAAACAAATATACCTTTTGTTTAATTACGTCCATTTGTTAGTGAGGTTATAAGTTCATACCCACGTGCAAACGTCATTCCCGACGACTTCCACCGCGCTGCTCCTATGCTGCGTTCTGCATCAGACATCGGGTATATAACCACAAATAGAGACGAAATAAGGGCCATCACTGGCATTCTGTCAGTCAGAAGATGGTACTGATATCACTTTTAAATATCAATTCTCGTTTGCGCTGAAATCACAAATTAGAAAGCTGAAATAGTACAGCGCCAACAACTGACCTGTGTGTACGTCTCCGTATACTCCAAAAATATTCTATATTTATTGGAATAACGATAATATGTCTATGGGGGGCTGTTCCGTTACGTGGTGGGAAAAACAGCAAAACATCTCATTACCAAACAGACGGAATCATATTTCATCGGTAATTAAATATTAAATTATGTCATTTTTCAAGTTTCTCAAGATAAACTGATCGATTTGAAGTGAAACAATTGACAACACCCGTCAATTGTTTCGCATTCGGGCTGGCCAATCGGAGCGCAGTTGTCATCGTAATGATTTGGCAGAATATTTTTAAAACAAATTAAATGACATTTCATCTCTACTTCTGGTATGTACTCGATGGCATCAGAACACCTTCTTTTGTTTAGAACGATATATTCAAATATTTTTATTTTCGTACGAAAGTAAAACCCGATGTCATGGAACAAAAGTTGTTTATGATGTTAATAATATCGACCTGGGAGGTTGTTAATATTCTACAATTGACAGTGTATATAGGCTGATTTTTTTTTAATCTCTAGGAGCTATCTTTTTATAAGTAGCAAGCTGCACCGCGAGTTGGTGCAATATCACTTTTCCAGCTGGAGCGTCGTCGATCGGTTGCGCTCTGGACAATCGTACGACGCGGCCGCACTCGCGTACGAAATATTCGAGCTCGTTTTCCAGCTGTCGACCGTCACCTGCAAGATGAGATTTTGTTAACGGACTTCAAAAAAGGAGGAGGGTCTCAATTCGACTGTATTTTTTTCGTGTGTGTGTTACGCGATTGCTCCGATATTTGTGAACCGATTTCGATGATTCTTTTTTGTTGGAGAGAGGGTACCTCAGTATTGGTTCCATTTAAGAGCTCTCATGCCAAAAAAGTTTTGACGTTGGCTCCGCCCAAATTTGTGAAACAAATATATGCCTGAAGTTCGCGTGACATGCGACAGGAGATGTTGAATTTTGCGCATTAAAAGTACCAAATTCGTTTTAGCGGAATAACTCTAAAACTAAAGGGATTAAAAAAAAATTCGTAGTGACAGTTGTCGATATGCATAAATATAATTAATTATCTAATTTTTGTCCTAATAACCTGTAGCATTTCGAGGATAAATCGAAAAAATTTGAAAATTAGAGGTCATTTCGTGATTTTTATCTATCGAGGAAACTTGATTGTTTTATGTTTCTGATTAATGTCTATGCTTGAATATATCGTGTAGTTACTCATACAATATTTTATTTTTAATTTTAAAGTGGATATACCCCTCCAAAATCAAATCGAAGATTAGGAATTTTTCCTCTGCTCCCTCTTAAATTTGAAGCAAATATTCCACCTCTAAGGGTGGCAAACTAGGGGATGAATACGCGCATTTTCGGGTAACCAATTTCAATAAAACTTGGCAAATAGATGTAATTAAACGAATTTTTGAGGTCGTTTTTTGTATAAAAAAGTTATTTAATATCCATTTTACTAACAGACATGTAACGTGTCTGTTAGTAAAACAAATTTAGAAAAGGCCCATACAATTTTTTTGAGAAATGTATTTTAATAATTGTTATACAGTAAGCTCAAAAGGCACAACCGCAATCAATACATAGGCATAAATGACGTTTTCACCTCATTACTCACTAGCTCGGAAAGGCTTTCTTTCTCACTAAAATGTGCGCGCAAAAGCGTTTTGTGCACGCTAGCTTGGAAATGGTTTTTGGTATTAGAACTTGACGATGGACTGTGGTGCACCCTTAGAATAATAACGCATAGAAACCTAGTCCGCACACGCTAAGTGAGGCAAATTGAAGCGCGCCAAAAGGGCCTACACGAGCGGGCGGGCCTTCAGTGCTCAAGGTCAACTTGCACCGCGAACAGATGAAGAATTTTAGCTAAAAATGACGAAATGTGCGGTAAATGAGTGTAAAAATACTGACGTGTCAGACAAACATAAAAAACATACTAACATCACATTCCACAAGGAAGTAACGCGTTTCAACTTGTATTTTTAGATAAATATTCACTAAAACCGAAAATTAACCTACTACTAAAACTAGCCTACATGAATTTCATTTTTGCCTCATTTGTGATAGTTCGTTTGATATGAAACTATCATTCTATGAGTTATTATTCTAAGGGTGCACCTAACTTTTTCTTTCGATGAAAAAAAAAGATATAAATCCGTTGATACATTTTATTCTTATTATTGTTGACATTAAATTGACAATGATAACTAATTGTGTTTATTAAATTATTTTAATTCGTCGAAGAACTAAAACAATTTCAATAATCACGTGATCACACAAAATAAAAGTACAAGCAAGAATAAAAATTGATGAGGTGTAAATTCAAAACGCACCTGAAGACATTTTTTCTTTTAATTAAAAAAACTGATGTTCACCTGTTTTTCTTTCAAGGTGAAAAGGTTACAAGGTTAAAGAAAAGTTGTGTTTTACTCGGTAGCAAAGTTGTTTAGCGTCTTGTGCCATGAAATCTTCGCTACGCTAAGGAATCTATTTTTATACCACTCGCTTCGCTCATGGTTCAATCTTAGCTTCCTTCGCTAGCTCAGGTTTCAAGACAAGCACTCGCGTCTATCAACAATTTTGCAGCCTTGCATAACAAATAACTGTATCCTAACTATGTATCCTTATTATTTAGCGGCTAATGTTAAGTCTCATTAAACAAGGGGTGGGGCTTGGTGACTGTAATACAGGTAAAACACCTACATCTTGAGATGTACATACATAGGTGTTTTTTTTATGAATCAAGTGACGGTGCGAACAAGTCGTGCGCCTGGTGGTAAGCGACACGCCTATCCATAACAGTTGCAGTGCCACTCAGAGCTTTAAATCACTAAGATTCGAGGCGCACTGCCACTACTCCCGTCACCCTGAGATACAAGTTGACAAGTCCTATGTGCCTGTAATTTCACCAACACCCGTGGCCTTCAAAACCGGAACGCAGTAATGCTCACATTACCGCTTGGCAGCAGAAATAAGTAAGGTGGCAGTACTTCCCTGGACGAACTCTTCCATAATATACTACTGTAATTAACCCACTAAGATTTTTTCATCACACTTGGTCGTAAACAGTGTCACGACTCAGGACATGCAGGCAAAGTCGACTGTAATGTCCTAAATCATGTCCACAGGCTTTTTCATTACATTATCGCCCTATGAATAATGTGGTGTGATTTATGAAATTATAATTGACAGATTAACAGGAGTAGAAAAAACATTTTTGTACCTTGTCCCATTCTCGCATTAGCAGGTTGTAAGCATTTGTTAGTGAGCCTGGCGAGCTGGGAGCGTTCAGAGCTGAACGCCTCGTCCAGGTCGAATAGTTCTAATGGAGGAGGAGGCAGCTCGCGGAATGTCGGAGGGAAAACCTGGACATCGCAACCATCAGTAATTATAATATAATAAATAAATGATTTATCCATCGAATAACAAGAGGTAATTTGTGTTATTATCTACTTAAAATGTATTCTTAATTAAGTTTTTTTTTAAGTTTTTATTGAATGTCAAGATCTTTCACCACCAAGATATTCAATTATTTTTTGTGAAATTACTCCGCTTGTAATACAAAGATCAAACACTTAGAAAAAAAATCGTTCCATCCGGCCAGATTCAAATCGACGACTCCCAGCAAATAATGCCAGACGGTATACGGACTAAGCCACGGAACGACCCAGCGGACCTCACGAATTTTTCTTTCTATGTGCTTGTTGTCGAATGTTGTTATTGGTTTTAAGGACTGCTTTGCCGTAGCGCCATCTGTGAGAAAACTATGAAAGTATTTCGTCACCCATTTATGTTGTAATTAAGTTTTTATATAATGAATTCTATTTAATTTATTCTTAATCTCCAAACTAATGTCAGTATTTAAAAATTCATAATATCTGAAATGGCGCTACAGTAGCCTATATATGCACAGTAGGTACATTCATAGGCGATCATGTACAGTATACTATTGCGATACCTCCAATGAACACTAAGCCAACTTAATTTTTGGACCTGTTCTGTTTTTATTTTGTTTTTTGTTTCTTTTTTTTTACAAAATTCGTTTTTTTTGTTCTTGTTTCTTTTTTTCACAGAATTCGGGGAGCACAACTAAGATTATATTTATATTAAACCGCCATATTTATTTACTAAGGCAAATAAATATGGCTGTTTACAAAAATAACAGAAGACGACCAAAAAATAAAGATGGCGTAGTGTTCATTGGAGGTGTCGATTGGAGCTGCCATGCACCCTGTACACTAGAGACGTGCGTCTTTTCTGCATTGTGATGTAAATACAATTAACTTATGCGTCAGCAAACGTTCCTGATACACTATTGAAACTCGCAAGCCCCTACAGCACCCTAAACGCGTTATTGTTATTATTTTTTTAAAACATAAAGTAACGGGACGAACAAGTCGTGTGTCCGATGGTAAGCTACACACCTGTCCATAACGGTTACAGTGCGACTCAGAGCTTTAAATTGCAAAGATCTATGGGGCACTACAACTTCGCCCGTCACCTTGAGACGTTGACAAGTCCCATGTGCCTGTAATATCACCCGCATCCTTACCCGTCAAAACCGGAACACAGTAATGCTGACATTACTGCTTGGCGGCAGAAATAGGTAAGGTGACAGTACTACCCTGGACGAACTCTTTCACAAGGAGCTCCACTGCTACTAAAATTATATGAACCTAAAGAGTACTAAACGAGTAAGTCTTTCTCACAAGCTGCACCTACAGACAGTTGAGCAATACGCCCGGAAATAATTTTAACTTATAATTTATCAATACAAAAATTGAATATTTCCTTCGATCCGGCTGGATTCGAACCCACGAAGTCTTCTAGCAAACCGTGGTAGACGCTATGCCAACTAAGTAACGGAACGAACTAGCGGATCTTACGAATTCTTCCATGTGCTTGTTGCAGATCTTTGTTTTGTTTTTTTAAGGACTTTTTGTCGCAGCGCCACCTGTGAGAAATCTATTTCTTCACTAAACCTGATACCTTTACACTTTTCTCGATCTGTTCGCCTATAATAGGATAGGAGGTCCTGACCGCTCTCTGGTTGTCCGCGATTTATAAATCTATCTTTGTCTGATGACGAATTTCGATTTTCTCAATTCGGCAAACTGTGGCCAAGCCTGCCACTTCAACATGCTAAACATAGCATAGCATTAAAAAACTTACCGCTAACTGCAGAGGCGGAAACGGTGTCTCGAACTGTGGAGCGATCAAACGCAAGGGTTCATGTTTGACGCCTAAAGCGTCATACAGTCCTAGTACTTCTGGCACTGAAACAAGAAAATTCTTCCACTTCAAGAACTGATCTAAGAAAGAAAAGATATGATCGTGTGATCATCCGAAGAGATCATGAGGATACCGTGGCGTGAAAGGTGCTACGACCAAAAATATTGGATGTTAGATATATGTCATTAACTTTCCCCTGAGTGTCTAATAGTTCTGGTCTAACTCGAAGTTAGCTCTACGACTGTGGCGGGGACGACCATGTTTTATTAGTACGAGATACAATCATTATCAGGTTTATAGCTTACACTGCGCTAGGTTGAGGGAAAACAGTTTCCAAGTGAAGAGAGCGTGTGGATGTAGAGGTGTGAGACGTGGAGGTGGCGCCGTCGCAGGTTCGGGCAGAGGGATAGTGCTCAGCCATAGCATATCACCTAGCGTTCTGTATTCATTAATCTGTGAAGAGTTAAGATTATCTCCGATAGAGTTATTTTTGATTGTAAAAAGTAGAGTGCTGAAGCGTGATCTTAAATAAATTATCTGAATAACATTTACTAATACCATGGAGTAAATAAATTTAGTGGTAATACGTTAGGGTTTATGTGAACGATAATGAGAAATGAGATTTGTGGAAGACGTCTTCTTACGTCAGGGTCTTCAACATCCACAGGGTTGAGATGCAAGTCAGCCTGCCCGCCGAGGTGGTTGAAGATCATCTCGCGGATGAGGTCGTTGCACTCGATCTCGAGATACTGATCCGAGAAGAAGTGGCCGGAGCCGATTACGAATAGTTTGCCTGGAAATTTATAGGGATTAATAGAAGTAGCACCAAACAGTTTTTTTTATATAATATTCAGTAACGGAACGAACGAGTACTGCGCCTGATGGTAAGCTACACGCCTATCCATAGCAGTTGCAGTGCCACTCAGAGCTTTAAATCGCTAAGTTCTGAAGGTCACTGCCACTATGCCAGTCACTCTGAGACATAAGTTTACAAGTCCCACGTGCCTGTAATTTCACCAGCACCCTTACCCTCCAAAACCGGAACACAGTAATGCTGACATTACTGCTTGACGGCTTGGAAATAGGTAAGGTATCAGTAGTAACCTGGATGAACTCTTTCACAAGGACTACTGTTACTAAACTAGGTACTCTATTGTGTTGGTTTTTTGGACGACTCATTACTAGATAAACAAGAACACTCTCTCTCAAACTCTCAAATTTCGCGTCGCCACACGAGACAAGAACTTGGAGAAAATGTAGTTCAGTAAGGTTGTTGCAAAAGGAAATGGATAGCGTGGATATTCACCTCCAGACTTATCCGAGGTGTACAAGGCAGCGACAGGCCGTTTGACTGGGTAGCAGACGTCACTGCTGGAGAGGATCGCCGCAGCTGGTTTCTTCACTGTGAGAGTCGCGCCGTATGGATAAACGAAGTTTGGTGTGGCTGGTTCTTCTCTATGCAAAAGAGGAACTGTAAAATGTGATGTGTCGTCGAATTTGATGAAGTCATCAAATATCAATGATAGCTTTATGATAACGCCACGGGTGTAGGTAGGAATTAATGACATAAATTCGTTTTGACGTAGCAAATTAGGGATACTATTTTTCGATGTTAGGTCAATCCGAATTGTTGGCCTATGTGGACAAACGGTTTGTATTGGGAGCGTTTGATGAGGATGAGGGTTCAATTCCCAGTAAGAAGTAAGACCAAAATGAGAATGACCTTTTCTAAATTGGTTCTAGGTCTGTAATGCTGGAGTGAATTCCGTTGCTCTGATACTCGCGGTAATATGTGGTAAAACCTAGTTTGAAAATACGTGGCTGTCTGGCACATTAAAAATATTAATAAATGTATTAATAATTACAACAAACTAGTGAAGTAATTTCACAAAAAATAATTGAAAGCAATATCAATTCAATAAAAATTTAATTGCAGTTAATAGCGACATTTCTAGCCAGGGCTGGTAGCTGTAATGGTGATTGAGTGATGAAATACTTTCAAAGATTTCTCATAGATGGCGTTATGGCTAAAAAGTCGTTGAAAACCAAATACAAAAATCTGACAACACGCTCATAGAAAAATTCGCGAGGTCCGCTGGTTCGTTGTGGCTTAGTTGGCATAGCGTCTGGCATGGTTTACACGACGGTTTGAATCTGGCCGGTTCGAAGGATATTTTTCTATGTTCGATCTTTGTAGGTATTATTAATTATAATAAACTAGTGAAGTAATTTCACAAAAAATAATTGAATTAAATTGCATTAAAATTAATTAAAAAGTCGTCTATTTATAGTAAAGAATTAACAGATCATTCTTCAGTTTACAATCATGAAAGTTAGGTCCGATTGTGTGCTACGTTGTTTTAAGTAGTTAACTTACAAGAAATCATCAGACTCGCTTGTGTAATTAGGCATCTTCATGATGTACTTTAACACAGCCCGGTTCAGTATACCGCTGGATATGTGGCATTCTTTCGGATGATAAAATTTGTGGTACTTCGCGCGGATCACGCAATCTGGAAACATGATTTAGGGATCACAATATTATTAAAATTGTTGGTTAAAGCAACTGTAACTTAGATATGAAATAATATTTTTATTTTAATATTAATATTTGCATGGTCAATGATACAAAGAGAAACAGAACGATCGTTTGCGCCAACTGGAAAATAGGTAAATGATCCATCAAACATTTCGTCGGGGTTAGTGCTAATCCACGTTACATACGAATTGGTAAAAGGCGCGTATCTGTACTAAACCAAATTTTATAGGAAAGAGATATAACGCTACTATTATATTATTTCACTGGCTTCGACTTACATTTTTCACAGTAAGCATTGATTTATGTTGTCTACGGACTGATTAACAATAGATCCCCGTAAATATGGCCACTAAACACACTCTCGACTACAGGCGAAAAGTTATTGACATTTGCTTCTTGTATAACAGAATAAACAGTAAAATTGACTCGTCGGAACTACTGTCTAAATTATCCTTTACGACAACCAGGTGAGTCTCAGGCGTCGACCGGTGCTGTGTGTGCCCGGGGCGAAGACCAATTATAGGCAAAATTCATTTTTTATCCGAGCAATTAAGGAGTACAATCAATCGTCTATTGACATAGATTTGTTCAGTACTAGTGTAGGCTTGATTCGACGAAAGTTTACAAAGTCATACTTTACGTAATTATCTATCTCCCATTATTTGTTTCCTGTCTTTAAGATGTGCGTGTTGTTGGTTGGGCTATATATAGGGTACAATATTTTTACTTTTTTTCTTTTCCTATTTTTTCCCTGCATTGGCAATTGTACCTGTTCTCATGACACTGCCATAGCTTTTCTTTATTACTAAACGGCTAAAGAATCTCACTTTCACGTAATCCGGAATCCAGGTTTAGCTGTAGAAACAACTCGAGCTATGACGTCTACAAACGAAGACAGATGGCCCTACAAACTGCAATGGTTGCTGTTTTTCAAAATAATTGATCACTCACCGTTATTAACAACAATACCGTATTCCTCTAAAAAGAAGTTAATGTTCGTATTCATTTTTTCTTCGCCGCCGTCAGTCATGGCGACGAGTACAGAATCCCCGCGTTCGACCATGCTCTTAAGACAGGACAGCTCGTCATCGGTGAACACGTTCTGGGGTCCTGGTACCACGAGGATCTTCACGTCTTGTAGGACGTGTGGTGTCAGCTCATCGCGATTGCTGAATGTGGTAGGGAGAGGAATTTCGGACATATTGAGTTCTTAGGTTTTCGCGATTGTTACACATAGGAAATGAAACTAATTTTCCGGATTTAAAACGCGTATATTTGCAGGCCCTTTACAGGTCTCATGGTCACGGTTGACTGAGATGGTAAAGTCATCAACAACTTATGTCTAATATTAATGTAAACCTCCTATTTTTCACTATAGTCACAAAAGTTATCAATTAAATACCATATTTTTAAATTTTACAAGGAACATTCGAATTTACGCTACATAAGTTTTAAAATGATTTTATTTTAACGATGTGATTTTTAAATTAAATTAAATTGATTATTAACTAATATTATAATGATACATAATGAGGATTTCACATGTAGTTTTCAAAAATAGTCGTTAGTCTTTTCCGAGGTACAGTCAAGAGCACGACAAGCTTGACACTTTGTACTTTGGACCGTTCTTATCGTAAGCGGCAAGCTTGACGTGCTTTTGACCCTGTACCCACAGAGTCTGCACGACGATATCTTCACCGTAAAAGGAATCGACTTCGAGAACTTATTCGTACCATTCGGAGTTGGAATCATAAATGTAGGTACTAGGGCTATCAATCTCGCTCGGAATACAAAATACTTCCGTGTCCCGGGAAAAAAATATCGACTCGGTGCGGTTTCGAAAATCCCGGGAAAAACGAGACTTTCAAGACTATTTGAAACGTAGGTTTCCACACTTATAGACTAGGTATTTAAGTTGTCAAAATAAAAAAAATACATATTTTTTAAGTAATTTTAATTAAAATAAATTATAAAATGAAAAATTATTAATGAAAATTATTTTTTTATTTTTCTAGTGGGTAAGAAACAAAGGGCGTTTAGTACAGTTTCAGATAGACTGCTCCTGTGCTCTCGTTCTCCGTCTGACATCCGTGCGAAACAATCAAGACACAACAAAGTGTGCAAATCCGGATTCATCGCCTAGTTCGCCACTATACGTACTTGACACAGGAGATAATAAAAATCGGTTCTCACTACTCAAAGTATATTGAGACAAAAACGTCTTGAATTGTAGAATAGCAAAATCAACCATTAAAGTAATTGCTCCTTATAATAAAATTTATGCGCTATCTATAAAAATGAAACTTCATGCGTGAACAGCCACGCTTAAAGGATGATTTTCTTCAAAATTAAATGAGACCACTATGGAGGTACCCTCATTCTAACAAAAAAATCATGAAAATCGGTTCACAAATATCGGAGTTATCGCGTAACATATATACAAAAAAAACAGAGTCGAATTGAGAACCTCCTCCTTTTTTTGAAGTCGGTTAAAAAGACGCTTGATACGAATTAAGCTTCATATTTGACACTGTCTTTTAATTTGTTCGAGTGTTACTTATTTTGAGTGTAATTGTTTCGGATGGACGTCAGACGAAGACGAGAGCAGAGCCCCCGATTTTGTATTTTTATTCTTCGATCATTCGATATATCATTGTATCTTTCGATTCTTCGATCATTCGATCAGAGATAATTCTATTCGTCGATCTCAACGAATTATACTAAGCTGCACTGTACAGTGTTGCTACATCCATGACTCAGAATAAAAAATAACTGATGGTTTAGTAGATTTTTAATATTTTTAAGGGATCGGATTACATGTCTTAAGTTTTAAAAGTCTCGATGTTCCCGAGACTGAAAACATTAGTTCCGAGTCTCGAAAATGCCAAAAAAATTGTTGAGACTCGAAATTTCCGAAACCGAGATTTCCGGGATGAAAACCCTTAGTAGGTACATACATTCTACCTATCCAGTACATTTGAAGACATCCTAGTAGCAAAATAGTTGTTTGCAAGCAAAATAGCTAGAGACGGCCCTTATTTTGTTGGCCCTTTTTTAAGCGGTACAACGATTTAAAGTATTTTTTTTTTAAGAAAAAAATTCTTCGATCCGGCAGGATTCGAACCGACTTTTTTTAAGACTTTTTCGACGAGAATTTTTTTAAGAAGAAGAAGAAGCTAGAAGTAGTATACCGTGCCAGACGCTATACCAACTAAGGCCATGGAACGAACCAGCGGACCTGACGAATTTTTCTGTGCTTGCGTCGTATCTTTGTATTTGGTTTTTCAACGACTTTTTAGCCGTAGCGCTATCTATGAGAAATCTATTTTATTACATAATTTTATTTGTTATATGCAAAACTAGAGAGTTTATTTTTTTCCACTAACAAGTGACATTAGAGTTATGATATTTTTTTTAAAACAAAAACTTTAAATCATTCTCCTGTAATATTTTCCAATTACACCTTAGAAGTTTTACCTTTCCAGTGTTGAATAAAAATATGATCTAGTCGTTAGACGCCATTGGTTCAAAAGAACAAACAAATTTAAGCTACGGTCGCTGTTGTCTGATCAAAAGAACGCTTCGGCTGCCGGTACACAATATTATAAAAAAAATATAATCCGACTGAGATACTTAAAGTCCGTCACTAATTGCCCAATGTATTAGGATAGTCATATAAAAACGCTGCTAGTATTTTGCCCTATCGCGGGAACCAAATTTCATCCATTTTATGCTTAGATATTTTATGTAACCCTAGCCCGGGTACTGGTTCCTTTAAAACATGTTAACACATTGTATCTTGTAGGTAACATTTTATTAAACTTAAGTCATAGGTACACACGTCTCTACAAGTTTCATTATTGCGTGTTTAGGTTCGAGTAATCACACACTGCCAGTTTAAAAAGGTCTTGGGAAACCTTGCATTGCTATGGCCATCGATGGTGTTGTGTGTCAGCTTATACCGGAAACGTATAACATTCACTGTGGCCGTGCGTACCATTATCAGTCGTACTAGTTAGGTACAAATCGACAGCCCTAAAAATTTTATACAATAGGTAAACTTACATCATCACTTTCCAAGTTGTTTTCAACTTCCGATGTAGTATTTTATAATTCTCATTTATTTTAAACAAGTTGTTCTTCGATACGTCGAATAGTATTGTGTTTACTATAGACTTCATTGTATTTTCTTTAATTGATTTATGTTATAACAAAATAGGAGTCCGTTCACTCCACGTTGTACTTTTATTATATTTATTATTTGTGTTGTTTACATTTATGGTTGCCTAGTAACTGTTCCTAGGTTACGATCAGGTTCTTTATTTATACAATTCCGAGACAGATTTTTTTATATTTTAGACAGACTTGGTACTAAATACATTTGTGTATTATGCCAAAATGATTGTTTTACCCATAACATTGGTGACTAAAATTGAAAAACAGGTATCTACAACTAGTACAAAATCTAAACGTCAAATCGATTTGAACGGTCAAATTTACTAGTAACAACTTCGAATAATAATTATGTTCAAAGCGCTATAAATATCTACAAACATGGCGATGCGACCTCTTTTATCACCATCCCACCTTTTTATCGCCCTTTTCTCAGTTTCCTGGCCATTTACTTTTGAAATTAATTCGCCACGATCTTAGGGGATGGAAAAAAATAAAGGATGCCACGATGTCCATAGCCTAAGAGATAAAGGCATATAACTCTTTGTACTATCAGAGGTCAAATATGTCCGAAATAACCTTAAAGGATGGAAAAAAAAAATTGTTTGTTAAAGAGACGGTGTGGACGGCCGAAAAGGCGTTAGCGGGACGACCTTGATGGGTTTGAGAGAGAGTGGTGGGAGATCGCCAAAGACAGGGAGTAATAGAGAATTTTGGAAGAGACCTTTGCGCAGCAGTGGGGCATGATGGGTTAATTAATAATATTAATAATAGTCTAAGGAAATAACACTGCGCATTCAAATTAGCCCCTTATAGAAATTCGACTCATCCAAAGAAAAAAGTGCGATGATAATACAGCGTAGAGGTTAAAACATAATCTCGTTATTCAAAAGGCCTATACATATAAAGATGTTTTCAGATTTTTTATGTATTTATTATTTCGTTTCGGAAATATAAAATCGAACAACTATCGATCATGAGTTGAGGTGGCAGTGGGCAGGGCACATAGCTCGTAGAACTGACGGTTGTTGAGACAGAAAGGTTTTCGAATGGAGACTACGAACGTTCGAACGAACGAAGCGTTCAGTGGGCCGGTCCTCTACTAGATGGATGGATGACCTGGTAACTGCACGTCGCGTCCGACCGTCTATAGCCTGGTAATCTTTGGGGGACGCCTATGTATCTTCCGGCTGGTATGATGATGATGAGCTGCAGCGCCATAATCGCGCCACTTTTGAAGATAAGATATTGTATGAAAGTTTGTAGTGGCGTGGCTGTCACAGACGCGCCACTACAAACCTCTTCTAGAAGCGTCTTATTTAAAGGCGCCCTTACTGAAGGGCGAGACGTTCTTGACCTTCGGTCAACGAACGGCGGTAATTTAGCAGGAAAAATAAAAGATTAACTAAATAAATTCAATAATATAATTTCTATTTACAAATCGGCTAGCCGATTTTTTAACTCTAATGTTACAACTTTACTAGGTCTTTACTCTATGTACATTACTCGCTTTAGAACAATATTGTTGTTGGTATACCTATTGTTGTTAACTGTTACACCTGAGTTGTGACATTAGGAAAAATAATTACCAACAGTACTCACACAAGTAGATTCTCAGTAATATTTGAATAAGTCAAAGATATTTTTTCTCTGACGTTACGTAGTATAGTATAATAATAAGACAGTAGTACAACTCCCGCTTGTTTGCCATGTCAATGTCTACACTTCGCTCGGAGCGTAGGGTTGTCACATTAGTTGTACCTATAGGTTGTAAACATACTTTAAAAAAATGAAGGTGTTCAACACCGACAATAAGAAATAACCTTTGTAAAATGCAGTACTCACGTGTTATAATAATATAGTCACGTGTTATAATAGTATATTTTTATACCAGCATCGCGGATTGTTATCTCGATTGTGGAAATATGATTATGAAACAGCAATGAAATACTGAACAATTCTGAATTTGAGACACTCTTGGTCAAACAAACATAAACACAGTAATAAGCACATCAACTACTATTTATTTTGATGTTATTTTTTACAAACAGATTGTACGCTTCAAATCTATGCTTTGCAACGTGAGTGTACCGCGAGATTTATGTGAATGTGTGCGTCAAGCGTCACATACAAGCCGTGTTATTACATTTGTATGAAGTTACACTACTTGTCTTATTATATTATGGCAGTTATACAGACGTGTTCGTTGAATCGACTTAGTGGTGATATTAGCAAATATTTTAACCTATAGTACAACTAGGTGGACCCTAAAGTGACGAATCAAAAAAGAATTTTGCAAAATATTCAAGTATAACGTGACCAGTTAAGAGATAATGTTCATTGGATACTTACGAATAAACATTGAACATCGGGAAAATTCGGAAGCCACGAATATTTCCGATGACCGATGTATTTATGATAATTAAATTAAAAAACGGTGTCAATGGACTTTCACTAATAGATTTTACTACGATCTGTTTATCTAAAAAAAAACATTATTCAAATAAAATGTGCTATTGTTTGTACGAAACACTCTCTCTTAACTTGTCAATAATGACAGCTAAGATATTTGAACTGTAGTAGTAAAAAAAAAGAAGTACAAAAATAGATTGCGCTTAGTATAAAAAGTTAGGAACAATTGGGGCTAATAACGACACACACATTCTACAAAATTTATTATAATTTCTGTGGTGTCTAAAGGCGGTCTCCTGCGGTCTGTGGTTGTACCGATCATCGCGCACGAGCTCGTACCCATGCATCATAGGGAGAGGCTTGGAACGGTGCGTAGATTAATGCATAGCGAAAAATCAGAGTGTGAGATGGAATTGCATGATTTAACTCCGCCTTCCCCTTTCCATCATCGGGGGACTAGATGTGGCCTGGGGTTCCACCCTTGTGTTTTAGGTATGACCAGGATTCGCACGTAGTGTTTCGCTTCCACGTTTAAATGGCGAGCGGCTAGGGAGTGGAATTCCCTGCCTGCGGACTTATTCCCCGAACGCTATAACTCGGATCTTTTCAAGACTAGAGTGAACTAGAATAAGTGTGCATGCACCGTCGACCTCATAGTCCCTTTCCATCAAGTAAGATGGGAGGTCAAATGCGCGTTTACTATGTATTAAAAAAATTGTAAAATATTGGTTGAAATATTCTATTGATTTGACATATGTTCCCTTTTTGGCTTCAAATAAAGAGAAACCCGAAAATTTTTACGTTTCTTTAATGCAAATCTTATGCAAATCTTATTTTTGTTGTTCTGACTACTACTGTTATTTTTTATATTATGACAGAACGTATTAGAAAATGATATGGACTAACCCAAACAAAAATCGTGTTACATGGTGATTATTAATATTATGAAAAGGGCGTGCCTGGTGTGTGACTGTCCATGATCATCGGCTATGCGAGTAAATGTGTAAAATCACAGGCCGTGGAAGGTCGCCTTAAGATACATACCAGAAAAACTATTTTGCTGGATGTAACTGACTGGCATCTTTTGTAAATTATAAAGTTCATTTTACATTGCCGTGGAACGGAATGGAAGCCATTTTTCGAACGATACGGTAGCTGCGGAAATTACCGATCCTGTGCGAATATTCTCCGAAAGACGCGTGACTATTTTCTGGTTCGTATCCTTCCTTCGGAATGACAAAAAGCACGATTAACATTTTTTTAATATTTAATTTATCAGAATTGAGTTACATACATATTTGGAATCAGGAAAAATAGACCAATCTATCTATTTTTTTGTAGAAATATATCTCAATAATTGTTGAATATACTACAAGCTCAAAGGACACAACTGACATAAAAAATCGCAACGTTTGACGTTTATTACGTTAAAAAGACTAATTATGAAAGGCGATTTTACTTAGTAATTTACCGATGTGCCCTTAATATGTAGTTCAATTACAATATATAACACAAAAAAGACACAACTGAATACAACTGTGCCCTTTATTCTATTCATGAGTTAAATATTAAAAGTCACTTTATATGCAGTTATATTATTTTTTGTACATAAAAGAGAAAATTAAGTTATTTTTAAAAGCAGCTGATTCAAATATAATGAAAGTTATATATAGTATATATGGTATACTAGTTAGATCACGGTTGACCATGGTCCCATGTCAACCGTGACCATGGTCCCATGTCAACCGTGTCAATGGGACCTATAAACGGCCCGAAACGTCTGTTTGTTTGAATAAACAAATATACGCGATTTAGATCCGGAAAAACAGTTTCAATTCCTAACTATACTTTTTATCAGAAAAATCTTAAAAAGTATTCAAAGACATTTATCTCCGAATTTAGAGTTTGCCACTTGTGACTTTCTTCCTTACGAAGGAAGTATCTACTTGCTATTGTTATAAAAAATCGCTTCCATGTTTTTTCAGCGCCAATTTACATTGATCTTTAAGAGGAAAATTTGTTTTTAACAGGGTAGTAGGAGAGTACAGTAAAGCTATAAAATTATGAAACAGAGATTATCATTTTGACCCTTGTTTCTTTTAAAAAGCATGCCATTATTAGCTAATTGAAAACGTGAGCAGAAATTCACAGGATACAAAATAAATGTTTATTTTTATAATTTTTACAAACTACCTAGAAAAGTTTATTAAAATATATCTGTACAATGTATGTAATAATAATATTACCATATAAAACTTATATAATAGGAATGAACTTACAGAAACCGTTTCTATTCAAGATATTCACCTATATAATTTTGTTTTTAATAAATATTTACAAAAATTATAATATTTAGGATTTTTTTTAAGATTTTGAGCTGACTTTGAGCTTTAAAAAACTAAATATTTAAAAGTATATTTGTTTAAAAGAGAGAAATACAATTTTAGGGCTCCGATAGAACTAAATGTGTTTAGAAAAAAAAATGTACTTAAAAAGGAGCCCCTGCTTATTAACTGGTTGATATGAAATATTCATTTGTATGAACTTAAAGTTCAAATCGACAAGTTATTCTAATGCATTTTGAGTTTGCATCTATCTTGTAGTGGTATCTTGGCGTATTTACAACGCAGTCATACAAAATGTATGGAATTATAATGTATGAGATATCGTATTGCATATTTGCTGTTAGCCGTACACAGATGGGTGTACTGTAATGCCAGGTTTACATTAATTAAGTGTTTAGTATAGTACTTTACTACTTTAAAGCACTATGTATATTTGATGCAAGTAGAACTAATCACTACGATGAAGGTTTATGCTACTTGACTAACGCACTCTCCTAAATAGCGTGCCATATTCCAGTATGATCATGTTAGAGTTTTTCAAATTTGACTAGCCAGATAAAAGTCATCATTTAGTCGGTTTTAGGTGCAAAACACTAGATTAGTGGGTCCACCGCTCAAAAGTTATAAGGATGTTTTAATGTCCTCGCTGAAATAAGCTTATTCCGGCGGCACCATTTTTGAATCTCGAGAACTACAGCTCCTAGCTTAGATCTGATTGCATCCAGAAAAGGTCGTGAATTAGTCTGTTTTAGTCGTGAAATTTTAGAATTAGCGCTCCCTTTGTTTAGAAGATATTGGATATTCAATTTTTTTTTCTATAAAAATAATTGAATATCCAATATCTTCTAAACAAGGACACATAATGAATAATATGTATTTAAGGAAGTTCTCGAGATTCAAAAATAGCGCCGCCGGAATAACCTTATTCCAGGATGGACGGTATAACATCCTTAGAACTTCAAAACGGCATAGCGACTAAATGTAGTTTTTTACGACTAGAATGGATTAAATCACGACTATTTTTTAGTGCAATCAAATCGAAGCTAAGTGTTTTGGTTCTTGAGATTGAGAAATGATGCCGCTGGAATAAGCTTATTCCAGAGTGGACAGTAAAACACCGTTAATACTTTTGAACGGCGGACCGACTAAATTTAGCTTTTTGTGACTAGAACCCACTAAATGGTGACTTTTATCTGACTAGTTAAATTTCGAAAACTCGACCACGAACACGCTGGGTTAACACACGCCCTAAATACTATGAATGTGAAACGAGCGCGATACGTAGTTCGTCATAGATCGTAATGTCTTTTTGACAACATCGCGAAATTATTTTCTAAGTCCAAGCTTCGGAGCTATTCGTGTTTTGGCGGAAATTGACGATCACAATTAATGTTTTATACATTATTGCAGAGGTCGGAAGGGATTGCCAGACGAGTATCGGGGTTGATGATGTTGGTGACATGTCGGTATCAGAACATCATAACAACTTAAATTAAAAGTTGACCTAACTGTTTAGATATTGAAGTGACGTTTACTGTATATTTTCTCAACAATAATTAATTTGTTTTCGTAAAATTTTTACGACTTAAAAGCTTATTTATAAAAGGATATTGTAAGTTTTGCTTGACCTGCCTTTTTTAAGTTGACTCAATAAACTCTCATATTTATTATGTTGGTGGTAATTATCTAGAATTGCACTCAAATTCACATTCAAAATATTGAAGTACCAGGCTCTCAGTAAATCATAGGAAGCCCATATTAAGCGCTATGCGGATTCAGAATGTTCGGATTTTCTATACGAATTTGTACATGGCATGAATAAATTTATCATTTTAGGAGGCATACAAATAGTATATAATTATATTACAGCTTGTTCAAACAATTTATAGCACGAAACGCATAGAAAAAAGTACCAGGCTTTCAGTAATCACAAGAAGTGTACGGATTTGCTATCGCATTTGTGTCATGTATGGATAAATTAGTTATTATTTGAAGAGGCATTATAATATTCAATAGTACTTACGTTGTTGCCTTATTGTTTATTTTTTAATGTACAAATTGGACGTAGTTAAGCAAAAAGGATCCAATGCACAAAATTATCAAATTATGAGTTATACGTACCAAACGGTTCGTAAATCTAACTCCTCGTAGATCAGCAAAAAATCCAATATAAACATAAATAAATATCTCTGGAGTTACATGACATTATAAGTTTTGAAAATAAAACAAGAGAATACTTCAAACTGCCATAATTATCTCGAAAGTGGATGTGCATTGTTGGATCCTTTTTGTTTAACTACGTCCAACGCATAGAACAAAAGTACCAGGCTCTCAGCAATCATAAGAAGGCCATATCAAGCGCAACTCGGTTACGTCAGAACGTCCGGATTTCCTATCTGATTTGTACAATGTATTGATAAATTGATTATTATTTGAAGAGGCATTATTTATACCTACATTGCTAAGCCTTATTGCATTTTTTTAATGTACAATCAATCCATTCATAACAGGAAACGCATAGAACAAAAGTACCAGGCTCTCAGCATTCATAAGAAGCCCATATCAAAAGCAAGTCCATTACGTCGGAATGTCCGGTCTTAATAACCGAATTTGTTTGTTCATTATGAACGTATTATGTGAATGGCATAAATTCCGCAGTCGCCTTAAAAAGCTCATTGTTAAATAATTAATTTTAAATAATTTACAAGGTTTTAACAGGAATCGCATGTTAACAAAAGTACCAGGCTCTCAGCAAATCATAAGAAGCCCATATCGAGTGCGTTGTACAACGCGGCTATATCTGAATGTCCGGATATCCTCCAGAAAGGGTAGTTTTTGGCTTTGGCCGCGGCTTCTTCGTCCTGTCCGTCGCCGATCACGACGTAAGTACATCGCTCGCCAAAACGCTGCTTTATCTTTTCGAAGCAAGTTTCTTTGCCTGACAAGAAAAGAAAAGAAAATTCAGGGTTATTTGTACAATACTAATAGTCTTAGTATGGAAGCATAGAAGAAGAAATACCTACTAAGCCGTGTTAAAAATTTAACGTATTTTATTAGCAAGTGAACTAAGTGAATTAAATGAAAATGAAAACATGAATAAAGAATCCTGCCGCTTAAAAGACTATTTAAAATAACCCAAAGTTCTTTTTGCCATTGTACAAGTACATTAAAAACACAATAGAAAATATTTATTGAGGATCCCGAAACTAAATGAAAACTTGGCTCTAAGGACTTGTACCCAAGCCAAAAATCGTAATAAAAAATATTACAAAACATGACACCTTTTTCGGGTTATTTTATACTCTCGACACTTTTTAAATTTGTATCTAGTAGTAAGTTTAAGCGTGCAAGCGTCCTCCCGGACGACCGCCACTCGCGCTCCTGCGTTTTGCACAGAGTTATCACTGTTTATAGTGATGTATTTAAATATTTTTGTTTTTGTATGAAAGCAAAATGAGATGAATTTTTAAAAGTCATGGAACAAAACAAATAAGTTAGTAATATATCCGGAGAGGTTGTTAGCATTTCAAAAATAACCCATATTGTACCAATAATTAAAAATCAGTACATAGACAAATCAACGTCAAAAGTAAAAGATGAGAAACGACCGTTACCTGTTTTTGTAGCAGAATAGATATTCTCGATGGGGAAGACGCCCCCCAACCCGAAGAGCAGGACCTTAGCAAGTGCCGGTACGAGTTGCGTCGTCGTGACTAGTACGTTTACGCAGTTCTCCCTGCACAATAAAACATATTATATAATAATATGCGCCACACAAAGACAAAGTCAAATAAACATATATGTATACATTTGAATACATTTTCTTTTGTTTCACACACGGTTCACTACCACGGATTTTTGTCATCCAAGTACGCAGAAGCTATATAAATAAACCTTTAGTATTAAGTTGTCTCACTATAGTTTCAACAATCACACCAATTGCCTGGTCTCAAACCAGGGAATTCCTTGTAGTATGAGTACCAGAGTAACGGAATTCATTCTGGGGCACTTCCCAGAAAACCCAGAGCAGAACCAATTTAGAAAAGTTCGTTTCCCAAATTGGTCCTACCGGGAATGAGTCCGGGACTCAAATCTACGCATCCAGCGCCCACAATGTAAACCGTTAGGCCACCGAGAGGTCGTCTATATATATGAGTAGCAGTAGAAGCAATACTAGTAGCAGTAGACCTGCTTGTGAAAGAGTTCGCTCAGGGAATACTGCCTTACCCATTTCTGCCGCCAAGCAGCAATGTGAGCATTACTGTGTTCCCGTTTTGACGGGTAAGGGTGCTGGTGAAATCACAGGCACATGGGACTTGTCAACTTATGTCTTAGGGTGACGGGCGTAGCGGCAGTGTTCCTCAGATCTTTGTGACTCAACTCTTGAGTGGCACTGCAACTGTTATGGACAGGCGTGGCGCTTACCAACAGGCGCAAGACCATACATAGGTCTTTAACAACTCATATGAATATAAATAAATATCAGACAACATCACGTACGTTGCTCTGATCTCAAAGTAAGTAGCTAAAGCACTTGTGTTATGGAAATCGGAAACGACGGTACCGGAAACACCCAGACACGAGACAATATAGAAAAGTTAGTTTTCTATACCGACCCGGCTGGGGATCGAACCCGGGACCTCAGAGATGGCGACACCAAGAAAACCGGTGTGCAAGCCACTCGGCCGTCATATGACCTCACGGTGAGTTGTTTAAATAAATTATTTCCAGCCAATTGATCATCTAACTTGAAGTTAAGAGTGAAATCTTGACTTACCTTGAGTTTATCATGTTGAGACACTTGCAGGCTAGCGTCAACCAGTTATCAGTAGCCTGTTCGAGTTCTGCTCTCAGTTGCAGCCACTGTTCTCGCTTTGCTGGTCCTAGGAGGCCGCCCACACTGAAGCAAAGCATTATATATTTTTTTTACTCCTGTACTTTAATGCAACAATTATAATTTCATAAACCATATCGCAAAGACGCTCTTTTTAGTTCAGAATCAAAATTCTATAGTACATGCTACCGCACTGAAACATTTCATTATAGTTTTGTACACAGAAGTATAATGTATTTCTGTACATAGAACTATAATGTAGTTCTGTACACAGAACTACAAAGTAGTTCTGTACACATAACTACAAAGCAGTTCTGTACACAGAACTACAAAGCAGTTCTGTACACAGAACTATAATGAGTTCCAAAAAAATTAAAAGTATTTTTGCTAATTAAAATATTAAATATGACGCTACTCAAACGGTCTACTGCACTCCCAGCTCCGGTCGAATAAAGTTGGTAAAGTGAAATTGACAGTCGATATGTAAAATGCATTCTGGAGTAGATTAACATTTTATTTTTTACCTCACTAACTCGGAAATGCTTTCTTTCTCGTTAGAAATCTGCGCGCAAAAGCGTTTTTTCCACGCTAGTGTGGAAAAGGTTTTTGAAATTCGAACTGGACAATGGCCTAGTGGTGCACCTTTTTCTTTCAATGAAAACAAAAAGATAATGACAACGTGTCAACTATGCGATTTGTCGTACATTACTTATTTTATTAATATATATCTAATTTTGTTCATTAAAACTGATTTGTTATATAGTTCAACTGTTTTTCTTTCATTTACCATTTTCGTCGCTATAGTGAGGCGAAAAGTTGTGTGTTTCGCTCGGCAGCAAGTTGTTTTGTGTCTCGTGCTATGAAACCCTCGCTACGCTCAGGAACCTATTTTTGCATAAACCTAATTTTAGCTTCCTTCGCTTGCTCAGGTTTCAATACAAGCACTCGCGTCAAACAACAACTCTGCAGCGTTGCATAACAAATAACTATTATTGTTTTTAAAAGAAATAGCCGACCGGCTACGTATATACACTACATGACTTACCTATTCCTATAATTATTGTAAGTATCCTTAATCTTGCGATACCGGAACGCAAGTTTCCTCATCCAGTCGACACCTCCTCGGACACCAGGCGCGCAGAGGCCAGCGTTGGGCGCCGCGCCCGCGTGGAATCCGTCAGATGCGAAGTTGTATGCGGACAGGTCTTGGCCATTGTCGTCGGCCGCTACCGCGTCTATGTGCTCCTGGTCACAATCCTGCATGATAATAGAATTTATATAATATACAATATATCGTCTCACAACTGGGCACGAGACATCTCTAAATAGTGTGCTTAAAAATCACTTTTTAACCGACTTCAAAAAAGGACGTTTTCCATTCGGCTGTATTTTTTTTATGTTATTTTTGTTACGCAATTCCGACATTCCTGAACCTATTTCGATGATTTTTCTTTTTGTTGAAAACGGGTACCTCAGTAGTGGTCCCATTCAAATTTGAAGGAAACATTCCACGTCAATTAGGGGGTGAATCCGGTTTATTGAATTTACCTAATTTCAGTTAAGAGTCTATACAAGCTCAAATGGCTTTGGTAGATTCCGCAAAAAACAGTGAAAGTGTTGAATAAATCACTTTGGAAAAAATATATGGTGTGAAAATAGGCACTGATTCCTAACAATTTTCTCGATAGAAAAAAACACAAACATATACATGTTGTATGTATGCTTATATGTTTATAGATCCAGAACCAATTTCAGATGGCAAGATAGGCCATAGGTTCTCTGCTACAACTTATTTACGTCTCATAATTTGGTAAAGACCTTCTAAGTGGCAACACACCATAGTCATCCACAGAGAATTGCATGTCGTTCAACAGTTATTCACTCACCTCAACGTCGTTGAAGAAGAAATGAGTGTCTGCCAAGCTGAAGATCATCTCTTCCATCCTAAAACCTAATTGAACTATTTGTTGTGTATCCTGAAAATTATAAACAAGCATAAATTAGTTGTATACAAACCAGTACCACATTCCACACAGTGCACATTTATAAGGCGAACGGCTAAGGACTGGAATTCACAGCCCGCAAACATATTCCCTGAATGCTTTTCCGAGGTGAGAGTGAATATGCATTCAGTTAGATGTGCATACTAAATCGTCACTTTCCATCAGGTGAGATGGAGGTCAAATACGCACTTATTTTTATTCATAATAAAAAAGGGTTCCGGGTTTAACTGCCACTATGGCCAAACGGTTACCAAGCTGGATTGCCACGCAGAGGTCCAGGGTTCGATTCCCGGGCCGGTAGAAATATTTGTATGCCCTACATTTATTTCTCTCGTGATATTTGGGTGTATTTGTGATTGTCTATGTGTCTGTCCATGGCACCCGCGATACAGAGTTCCCTAGTGCGGGGTTATAAGCGTGTGCGTATTTATTATTATTTTAATTGCCCCAGAGTGAATTCCGTTGCTCTGGCATTTGGCAGGGAACTTTAGAGTCAATGGCTTAGCAGTGGCAACTGTTGTGCAATGCACAGCGTGAAGTGAGCGTACCTACAGCTCCGGTACCTATTTGTAAAATAGGGAGGGTACTGTACGTGCACCCAGAGTGGCTCACACGAGGCACTAGCCTCTTGAGAACTGGATGAAGTCAGAGACAACGGTCTGTGGCAACTCTGTACACTGGCTGATCAGGAGTCAGGACCTGAACGTAGAAGGTCCCCGTGCTTGCACAGGTTATAGTGTCCTACTCGTGTACCCTAGGAGTCGCTAGGGAGGGTCACTATAATGAAAACTTATGTAGAAAGGAACGGGGACTGTTCTGGTACTCGGAGTACAGGGTACTTGGGTTCTGGTACTCGGATCTCATAGTACAGGGGATTACCTAGGTTTCAATAAACCATGTAATTGGTGTGGTTGTCGCTTTGTTTCTCAATTTAAATAATATTTATTATTAATTCCTTGATTCCATACATACCTTATTGTACTTAGTAGCATATGTGCCAGTGAGCAGCGAGTGAAATATGATAATGGTCTCATCAAGGTCCCAGATGAAGACACGCTCGGTACTGGGCTCGGGTGGGTGCTGCGCGGGGGAGGATGAGGTGTGGCGGCGACCGCGTCCGCGACTGCGGCTTGACGCACTCTCACTGGGGAACAACAATAAATTAACTCACTTGGAGAACTTACGTGCGAAATTTAATTTGAAATTTACTACAAGCTCTTCGGTGTACAAAAACATCGATTGTGGCGCTTTGTCAAGTGCATCCACCACGAAAGCCCCGGTTTGAGTATAGCACACTTTCTAGAATACATTGGTCTCAGCTTTTAGACTTCGTGCTGGCCACCGTCCCTTAAATAAGTTCTATCATCTAACAAAAAGGTTGGATCTCTGCTACATTTGATGGAATGTGACCATTATGTGGCTATGAGAAGCCAAATTCAATTACGGGAGATGTGGCAGGTTGGGGAATTTCGTGTTAGGTGACCCATTGGTGTAGAGCGTTAAAACTCTGTACTCATATGTGAGGTCTCGCCTCTCACTAAGAAGCGAGACAATAGAGTACAATAATCCACAGGTCCATCACAAGGCCGACATGGATACCCAAGTGTTACCAGGCCTTAAAAAAACGTAAACGAGTGAAGTCCCCAATCCACAATGGGCCATTGTGGTGGGCCATGGCCAAAATTCTCGCCTGTGAGGAGACCCTTGCCCAGCTGTGGGATATAGCTTGGTTTGAAGATGATGGAGAATGATGAGAATTCCCGAGGATGTACAATATTTGCTTGAGGAGTGAGTTCGAATGAAACTTATCAGGGTGTAGTTATTTGCACAGGTTCGTTTTGGTATATTTAATGTTGGGTGGTTTCAGTCCACTGAGCCAAAGTCATGTACATCCAATAATGAATAATCAATGTCCCTAAATAAATAATGAGTTACAAAAATCACTAGACATATAATTCATCAACATGTTGTATAATTTCACCAAGCAATAATAATGTTTAACAAACCACCCTATATTTGTTAATATATTTAAATTGTTAATGTAATTATCAGGGAAAATAATAGGTCAAATTAAAACTTTTGAGTAAATTTTAAGATTGTAAGCATAACATACCCAGAGTTTTCCCGACACCTTCGACTAGCTGCATGGATCTCGTTTTTGATAGGAGACAGTGGGCTTGTGTCGTTGATTGATGGAAGGATTGATGATGGAGATTCTGCAACAATGTAAATAGAAATCAACTAATTGTTACAGTATTATTTTCTAAAGTATCAATAGCATCACTAGAGTTCTACAGAGATAGCTGAAAAGGTGGAATTAAGATAACAATATTTATATAAACCACAGGCCACTCCTTTTTTACACACCTTTACATTTAATTTGAAGAAAGAAGAAGAAAAGAATAACTTCAATCATCATTTGAATTCTTTTACATGAACATCATAATTAAACCCTTTTTTCATGTTCTCCTAAATAGGTATGTATTGAGGAGAACATCTATGTTTATGCCTACCCAATGGGAGGCATAGACTATCAATTGATACGTTGCATAATCCTTACAATAGTTATTTGTTATGCAAGGCTGCAAAGTTGTTGTTTGACGAGTGCTTTTATTGAAACCTGAGCAAGTGAAGGGTTCATAGGGTCGTATTCTAGAACTCTACCCAATGCTCAAGTCAGGATTGCACTGGAAACACAACCACTGGAAATACAACCCTAATGGCAAGGACTTGTGTATGATTTTCAGTGCTCACTGCAATGCTCAAGTCCTGACTTGAGTATTGAGTAGAATTCCGGAATACGACCCTTAGATTGGGAGAACCAAATGGTTCATAAATAGAATCCTGAGTGTAGTTAGAGTTTCAAGCCACGAGACACAAAACAACTTAGCTACCGAGCGAAACTCACAACTTTTCACCTCACTATAGTGAGGAAAATGGTAGATGAAAGAAAAACAGTTGAACTACAACAAATCAGTTTTTTTATCAAAAGAAAAAGCTAGGTGCAACACAGTCCATTGTCAAGTTCACATTTCAAAAGCCTTTCCAGGCTAGCATGAAAAAACACTTTTGTACGCAGAAAAAGAAAACCTTCCATAGCGAAAACACACTACAGATATTTTTAGAACATTGTCCATATGATCCCAAAAGAAGTATTAAAATTTTATCGCTAAAAATACAATCTAAACAGATGAGGCAATTTTTTAATTGATTACATAACAATGTTTACTATATTCATTTGTTACATTTGATGATTTAAAATAGAATGTCATTGCATAATCAGATATTAACCTTATATTTGGTGATAATTACAGGCACATGGGACTTGTCAACTTATCTCACCGTCTTAGGGTGGCGGGCACTGTGGTAGTGCCCCCACATCTTTGCAATTTAAAGCTCTGAGTGATATATTGCAACTGTAATGGACAGGCGTGTAGCTTGGTACTTGGTACCAAGGTTGTTAGGTGTGTAGCTTACTATAAAAAAAAATTATAACTATTTTATTTAAAAAAAACTGACCTCAAGTTTGCTTTAACGAATTTCATTGTGATTAACGGAAAGTGCGCAAAACCGGTTTCATCCCTTAGTTTGCCACTCTTAGCAGTGGATTATTTTCTTTAAATTTCCATAGGATCAATATTGAGGGTACCCTCTTTCCAAAAAAAATCGTCATTGGTTCACAAGTAATTGCATAACATACACCCAAAATAAATATAGTGGATATGAGAACCTTCTCCTTTTTTAAAGTCGGTTAACAATTAAGTACCTATACTTACTGTTGTAATAGTTAGTGATGAACGAGAAAATTATAAATGTCAAATGATATTATATTATAATGAAATCTAGGTACTTAAATCCTGTACTTTCGTAGACTCGAGTACCTCCGATGTTTGGACTTTAGTAAATAGTTCTCTATGCAGGGAGATACAGCTAGCAATATTTTGGTGAAACACAGCAAGTTCCAAGGTCACAGGTTTCTCAATTCGTTTTCATGTTAGAATTCAATTAGGTATACAGCTATATAAATACTTTTAGTAATGGAATGATGTTATTTGTACCATTTTCTGCGTCAGAATCCGAGCAGTCGTCAGAAGAATAAGCATCGTGATTCTCCTCTGAGTCGCTATCTTCAAGTTTTCTGCGTTTATTTGGAGGAAATTCCTTATTTTTCTTATTCATTTTATTAAGTACTTCACACAGAAGATACGTTTGTCACCAATAAACTGTCGTAGTGGAATGTAATTCGGAATGTTGTAGTTTGTTATTACTTTGAGCACTTTGTAGAGTCGAGTATATTCATTTTATTACAATGTTTGTAAACATTTTTGTTCATTTACTATATGACAGCAACAAGACAATATTGCAATCCGAAATGTCAACGTCATTGTCAAGTAAAACGCCAGTGCGGCAGGCTGCCATTGGCAGTATCAGTTTTCCAGATACGCTATTAAATACAAAGCGCGGCAATGTTCAAACTTCAAAATTTATTTTTTTATATGGTTTAATAAACGTCATTACCATAAGTCAGTCCATGTTGAAAATTTGAATTTGTAAATCCCGGGAATTTTCTTCGATGATTACAATATTTTTGTATTCTAATATTATATAAGTACATATTTTATTATGTTTATGTCACACAATATAATATTCCTATAGCAGTTTCAGCTGATAAGTCCGATATTTAATTACCGCACTTATCTCTCGCCAAGAACGCCTTTCGTGGCTTGCGTTTATTGGTCTTAGGCTAATTTGCCACCCCCATAAATGAGTATCTATCTTGATGACATACACACTGGACCCAACGACATAACAAGACACACATCACCTGGAGGTCGGACGCTGTGTGTTGAGACGCTACCATCCCCCGCACTTCATTGGCACGACCGGTCGGATAATACAGCTGCAGAGCAGACGAGAGCGCCAAACAGACCAGCGCCAAGAACTACACTATTGCATCGCCTGCCTTAGTCTCGATTGTAAAGACAAGAAGATATTTCTCTGAGGAGCTTCGCGCAAGTTCGTGCCGCATCCGGAGACGAGAAGGCTGACTCGTATTTCAGAGAATGGCTTCACAACGCAAGGGGCGCTCTCTGAAGCAAATCTTCTCCTTTTATCATTCATAGATTCTTCTTGCTTGCCTGCTTATCCTATTCTGATACTCCTATATACCTTTGCCGACAAAAAAAGTTGACTTTACACACCTGAAAGTGCACCACCTAAATGATATGACGTGTGACCGGCGCTGCCGCTGCTACTGGGAGAGCTGACGTACGGCGAATAACTGGGCGTAGCGTAGTACCCACTGTACTGAGCCACGTTATGTTCCGCATAACCTGCCGCATAACTGCTGTAATCCTGGGAAAAAATAGGAATATTTAGGACTGCAATATGGAAATCACGTTTTGTCTGATCATATAGGACCAAGGGAACATCTTAAAGGCTTTTTAACACTAAATTCAACCGAGTATGACAACATTTTCTCGAAGGTATGCACCATAGACCAAAGGTGCAGAAACTTTATTGTGTCGTAGACCACTGATAATCACCCTCACTCATAAGAATGCTGGTGATATTACAGGTACATGGAGCTTTCCAACTTATGTCTCAGGGGCACCGACAGTGGGCCCCTCACCCTGAGCTGTTCTGTAACTGTTATGGACAGGCGTGTCGCTTACCATCATGCGCACGATTTGTTCGTCCATCATTTGGTATCATAACATCAGACACACGGCTTGTTCGTTCAGTCACTTACTTATTATAAAAAAAATAATTAATAGCACCTGTCGTCCAAGACAGCAAAGGCCAAAGTAGCACTTTCCGAAATGCTTCTAATGCAGAATTCTGACATTAGACACCTCTTAGAACCTCAGAGGTAAAAAAGGGTATTTTAAACTATGATTCAAATAACATTCGACCATGATCTGCATCTGTTTGCAAAGCAATTCTAAATATTTTTTTCTTCCTATAAAAAAATTTCTTCGAACTAATAGCGGCCATAAAGCGTGAGACACACTGACAGTGGTTGCGGGTTGGAATTACACCCGCCATGCACCCGACCCGATACACGACCGACCAGCACCCGTCTTTGTGCGTTTCACGCTTAAGAAGTAAGGTCACACACCTGTTGGGTAGCAGGAAAGGACTGGCTTAATCCGCCGTTGTACGAGCTGTAGTACGGCGATGGTTGCGCGCCGAAGCCGGTGCTGGAGACACCGCCAACACCGCTGACGCCATACGCGCTTAGGTACGTCGGCGTCGCTTTGCACGAGGACCTGAGGCCGATCAAAATATAACGCATCATTGGTGTAATAAGGCAACATATGCAAAATGATACCTCTCAGGAGAGAGTTTTAGGCATTCTACGACCGAAATTAGTCGGTAACTTTCTTTCTTTGGAGTCGAAACCCTTGGCCCGTGGGGTCCCAGTGCCCTTTATCTGTACAAAATTTCATTGAAAAAATGAATAGACTGTCTGGGAAACTCAAGGGCCGGCAGCTACCTTGCCCAACGCATTAGCATAGCAATATACAAAGGGGGAACGCTGCCAGCATCTTGAGCACCTTGCCGGGGGGACCCAATTTTATTCATATAATTTAAAATCCTAGTTTTACTTTCTAGTATTTAAGTGTTTATTGCCTTTTTTACCTTACCTGTATACTTTCTGTAGATTAAACTAATAGATTAAAATTTCACATATACATGATTTGCAACCGGAATAGGTAGACTATATTTACATAAACAGAGACAAAAAGTGGAGACTATGTTACGACAACACCTTTTTTTGTCTCGGATTTTTTCGTGATTCGGGACATCACTTAAGTACATTAAACCGGTAAAGACGGCTGAGTCTTTTTATCCTTTCAAACGAAAATACGAGGAAAGGCTTATTTTGCAACAAAAGTCGTCATGTTACTGATCGGATGTGGAATGGTAGTCCATAGTTATCTGGTAACAGTCATTTGTGCCCTTTGTCGTCCTGATTACTTTTGTTTGTTTTTGCTAAATGTGTGTATTATTATCACTCGTAACCAGTAAATAAACAGTTAGATTTACGTTAGATTAACGATGTTTGTTTTGTTATAGACCTTTCGTTTAAAATTATGTTCCGACAATGTCCAACAGAGAATACAGGCGGAGACTGAAAAACAGCACTATGTCGAGGCTTCGTCCTTTTCATTACTATTAATTAGCTCATTATTTATTATTACATAATATCGTGTGATTGTCTATATATATAGATATGTGTGTGTTTGATTAATAATTAAGTTCTATTTCATTTTTAATTTAAAAATGAACGTTCCGTATGGAGACTATATTTATCTAAATTTTGCGAGTATCTAATTGTTGCAAATCACCAATTTTTCGGAATATTTAAGAAAATTTCGTCAAAAAATAATTGTCTAAAAACATACTGTTGATGACGAACATTCTTACAGTATCCTAAAACTATCGCATCGACACTTCGTGTAGTTCTAGGTATACGTTTAACTTTCTGACTCGACTTTGTTATGGTAAAATTATTTACTCGCTGCAGAATCGGTTATAAATTACGGGGACAATGATAGTGCGCTCTCTCTAAATATAGTCTACCTTTTCCGATCACTGATATTTTGTTTCGTGTAGCTCGTATTATGTTCACAACTTTCGTGGGACAAACGCATTTTTCACGTATGATCTCATGTGGCTTTTTTTACTGAAGGTACGATGTATAGTTCTTAGGTTTTCGCGTTTGGAGCTAAATGTTGGTTTAGTTCCAGAAAAATTGTTTTTAAATGATTACAATAACTATGCCCAGCAGTGGGCGTCGTACGGCTGAATGACGATAGTTACAATATTGTTTGAAATACATTTTAATGGTACAGAGTAAGTTTAGTCCTTATTCATTGGGAATCCAAGCAGACTTAGCAGGCATTGTCGTCACGTTAATTATCGTACTTTACATAATTATTTACGTATACAATTTATTTATCCAATATTGGTTAAAATTTCTTGAGGTTTTTTTTAAATAATTTTATTAATTACATACCTTTTACTAATAGAGAGTGTTACACTGTCATTATGAACTAAATTTATGTGGCTCCCAAACCACAGTATCGACGCCATTACAAATATGTAAAAGTACCTATTATTTGTGTTGTGCGCTGGCGGGTACGCGGCATAGGGTTGATTGTAGAGCGGCGAGCTGACGTACGAAGAGGTACTGCCGCCGCCATACTGCTGCATGCTGTAAATAAATGTAAGATTTAAGGCAAGGTACATTTCAGGAGGTGAGGGGCAATGTGACACAGATCCGACGTCAACAAGCGCCCGATGGCGGCTGACGGGGCTGGGCAATTTTCAAATTTTGGATTAAATGTGAATTTAAAAACTTCAGTTGAAAACCAGAATTTAGCAAGTTCTCTGTGGTATTTAAAGAGAAATATCTCCAGAACCGACTTGAAAAAAAGGAGGAGGTTCTGAATTCGACTGTATGTTTTTTTTGCATGTATATGTTACGCGATAACTCCGACATTTGTGAACTGATTTTGATGTGATGTGTTCCCATTTAAATTTGAAGAAAATTTTCCACCTCCAAGAGTGGCAAACTAGGTGATGAATGACTTTCGAGGTCGGTTTTTTAGTACTCTGTACTGTGATTATTTGAGATCTTATTTTGCTCCAGAATAGTGTTGCTCTGCTGGCTAATTGGAATTAGATGAATTTCCAGGGCAAAGTATTTTCGGTTTAGCACTTTACGTCTCGATGATTAATCATCACTAACTATAGTTTCATACCGCGGTACGATTTGATTTCCCGATATTTCAGAACGGTCACAGGCTCCATGGTCATGGTGAGCCAGCGGCAGATGACAATTTTAACAACAGACAGTAGTCTGCAGGCAGTACTGGTTTAGCATCAGATTAAGCTTATATTATTGTAATGTCATCAGATTTCTTTCTACAGTTATAAAAAAAATCTGAAGTCGATCGGACAATATGAATAAGTAAAACAAGTATTCATTTTATGACGGAATTTTTTAGTAGCCGTAGGGCTCCCTGTGAAAGATTTCTGCAGCTAAGTAGCAATGTTCGCATTACAGCATTTCGGTTTTCAAGGGTAAGGGTGCTGATGAAATTACAGGCACATGGAACTTGATAACTATTATGTCTCAGAGGCACTTCAGATCTTTGCGATTTCAAGCTCTATGCGGCACTGCAACTGTCATGGACAGGCGTGTTACCACTGATTGATTGTTCCGTCTCTTGATAACATAAAAAAAAATAAGGAAGTAAAAGTGAACTTGTCAGTAATCGTACACGAAACTACCTGTTAAATAAGAAGAAAGCGATAATTCTGTCAAAACCCTGACGTTGTATTATGTCCAATCAATTAATCGGAACAAGATTAGTCTTAATATTTAGGCCTCGAGTCTTTTGCGGCTTCCCGACTAACACTAGTTCATTCAACCCGGTTAATTTGTGAAATTCAGTTTGCTTATGTAGTTATTATGGACTGTTTATTGTTAAGTATGTGTTGTCACAGTCCGGCCGCTCCCAATTCGAGGCTTAGTTAATGGGGTAATTAATAAGCAGAATTTCTTAATTAGCCACGGCTACCAGACGATGATAAAATGTCTTCTATTTACGGTGCGTGACATAATGGTGGAATTTCAAATTGTTATTATAATCATCAATTTGTTTACTATTTAATGTTTACATTGATGTTAAGGTTAATCTGATGTTCTTTGTTTGCGTAATTGTAATAAAATTAATTGTAATAAATAAAGATTGTAATTCTTTTTTTAACCGACTTCAGAACAAGAAGGAACTTTTCAATTCGACTGTATTTTCACCTGATTGCTGGAGGGTTATGTTTTTCAAGTGTATGTATCTAGTATTTATGTGGTGTGTGGTATGTATGTATGCATGTGCATTTCTTTTTCACGCTGTACCTATAGCCTAAACGGCTTGATGGATTTTCACATATCTACTGTGAACTTGCAATCGGTACCTACTATCTCAATTATGACAACTTTACAGGTGAAGAAAAAAACTGTTTATTTATTTATTTATTTATTTATTTATTTATAAGCAAACTTAACAGCTATTACATCTTCTATACAATTGTAGATTAAAAAATTATAAAGCCAATTATAAAGTTTGACCTTTTAACATTTATATTGACGTTACTTAAGCTATTTCTGAGATACTTTTGCGTTTGCGTCACTTATATAGCATCTGGCTGATTAAATAAAAATACGCAGTTTTTAAATATTTTTATTGCACATGTATGTATGTACAGTCAAGAGCACGTCAAGCTTGTCGTGCTCTTGACTCTGTACACTAAGTATTTTTATTTATGAAACCAGATGCTATATAAATGATTTTTTCTTCACCTGTAAAATTGTCAGAATTCAGATAGTACCGTTACCAGTTCACAGTCGATATGAGATGTCGATAGATTCGTCTTGATTGTGGGAGTGTTTAAGCTATAAAAATAATCCAAATAGTGAGGGGGGAATATTTTTCTTTTTTATCGTTCCAGCTGAATATTTTTGCAGTCGGGTTTTAGTTTTTTTTTTAATATAGTTTTTAGACTTGTTTAGTGTGTAATCGACTTCGATGATCCTTTTTTTTATTGGAAAGGGCATATCTCAGTAGAAGTGAGTCCCATCGAGACCATTGACGTTGCAACACGTCCGAAACATCGATATAAATAAAATATGTTTTTGTACGATTAAGTCACGAATTTAACATCAAATAAAGCGCAGGCCACACCGCGAACGAAGCCAGCTAACGTAACTTAGCTGGTATAGTTTTTTTTATGATACTAAGTAATGGGACGAACAGGTCGTGCGCCTGGTGGTAAGCGACACGCCTGTCCATAACAGTTGCAATGCCACTCAGAGCTTTAAATCGCAAAGATCTAAAGTGCACTGCCTCTACGCCCATCACCCTGAGACATAAGTTGAAAAGTCCCATGTGCCTGTAATTTGACCAGCACCCTTACCCTTCAAAACCGAAACGTTGTAATGCTTACATTACTGCTTGATGGCAGAAATAGGTAAAGGGGCAGTACTTCCATGACGAACTTTCACAAGGAGATCTACTGCTACTAAATAGTTGGTTGCATGCAACTACGTGAGCTAAGCTAAGTTAGTTAGCTTCGTTCGCGGCGTGGTCTGCGCTTAATAATATTGTAGACCTTGTTTCATTGATAATGTCGATTATGTTAGTTATTAAGGATGGTAGAGTAAAGCATATAAAGTAATACTTATTACCTATTGTAATACTGATAGGGCAACGTGGATTGGTCGTAGGGCAGCGCCTCGCCATACAACGCCACGTCCGCCTCGCACAGCCCAGGGCTGCGCACCTCGCTTTTGACTCCACCTGGACAATAGAAAGACACGTGGTTCAATCATCATCTAGATATATCATCATATAACCAGAAATAGATACGAAATGTCATTTAATTTGTTAGAAAACTATTCTGCCAAATCATTAATGTGACAACTGCGCTCCGATTGGCCAGCCCGAAAGACGGGTGTCGTCAATTGTTTCACTTCAATATGACCAGTTTAACTTGAGCTTTTTTTAAAATTGCAAAATTACATATTTAATATTTAATTACCGATGAAATGTTTGTTTTGTAATTAGATGTTTTGCTGTTTTTCCCACACCACCGAATGGAACAGCCCCCATTGTTAGAGATATTATCTTTATTACAAAAAATACAGAATATATTTGGAATATACGGAGACGTACACACAGGTCAGTTGTTGACGCTGCACTGTTTCAGTTTTCTAATTTGTGACTTCAACGCAAACGAGAGTTGATTTGATTTAAAAGTCATATAAGGCCCTATCTGATGAGTTTCCAGGGATGGATGACCCTTATTTCGTCTTTATTTCTGGTTATATACTCGATGGGTTCAATACACTAGCATAATTGGTTAACATTTTTATAGTTAGTCTCACTATGCTGTTCAATAAGATAGGGTTAAAAAAATTTTTTAAAGTCCCTGGCCTATCGCTCTGGTTTTGGCTATATTGACTACGAAGATGGTGTAAAAAGAAATAACGTACAGTCGCTAATTTCTAGACGTCATTTCCTAGATAGCATATTTTTATACAAGCTCGTTCACGAAGACATTGATTCCGCTGAACTCTTGGAGAAAATCCCGTTTAATGTATCTTCTCACGTTCAAAAACGACATTTTAAGCCGGGTACTTACTACCGAGCTGTAACCGCTGCATGTTATTTAACTAAAAATCATAGTGTGCGGAACGCGTGCGGTTCGCAGTGAGCTGTCTGATTGAAGACTATTTCCAGCGTACACACTACAGTTACAGCCTGCTAGTGAGTACCCGGATTTATATTTCAAATTGTCGAACAGATTATGCAAAAAATACCATTATCAGGCGATCGTGTAGTTATTGTGATAAGTGTCTTTATAAAGTTGATATGTTTTACAAATTCGAAACAAAGTGGGAAAACTGACATTCTAATGCATATTTTTATTATTATCAGTAAAACATTTTGGTAGTATATAAGTAAATATTTCGTATCCTTCACATATTTGCACAATTTATGTTGTATATTTTAGTATAGGGTACTATAGGTATATTTATATGCACAGTTTTTAGATAATTGTTTGTATGACTATGACAAATGACTGTTTGTTACCTGAATAAATAAAATAAATAAAAATTTAAAAAAATAATATTTTCATGAACATTATTATAAATAGCACCGCACACAAAAATGTCAATACTTTTCTTGACGTAGTGTTTACATTGGTTTAAGAGTCGATACCTACTACCTTAGCTCGAATTCGAATTTGTTGTTTTGTGTTCCCGTACTATTACAAACAAAATGAATTGCTTGGGTCGAGCGGCAGGGGCTTTATTTCAGAATTTATTTTTTTACTATCGACATTTGAAAAATGTACATCGTACATTTTACGTGTTCTAATTAGTTCAGTTGATACAAAAAAATCATTGATATATGTAAAGTACCTATTGACTGTTTGTGTTTTTTTTTCTATCGTGAAAATTTTTAGAAATCGTGTTTTCACATCGTATACTAATCAGTGTAAGTCCCCAATTTTACTACATATAAAGTGATTGATCCAACACTTTCACTGTTATACAGAATCAACCAAAGCCACTTGAGTTGTATCGATTTTTAATCTAAAACGTTCAATTTATGTAATCATTGAATCTTGTCAGTACTGTTGTCAGTACGTTGTTGATAAGTCTCAATGGAAAAGCAGCAGGGGGCAACTACACAGAAAGCACTCGGGAATCGCGCAGTAAAAGCCCGTAGTTGGGTTTTGAGATCCGTAGTGATTAATAATAAAGATATTAAAGAAATTTTCATTCATTTTCGCTTTTATTAAGGCGAGATTAAATGAAGATATCATTAATATCAAATACGAGTAGATAGTGAACATGGATAACATGACGTTACATAAGTGCCATATCATAATACTTGTCGATACAATAAGTCTTGTAGATAGCAAGGATGTAAGTACGTAATAGAATTATTGTTTATTCGCCTAAGGCCTGTATGAATACGACGTTGTTGTCATATCTTACCCGCACTATCTTCATTCATCAACCAGGCAACCGCAGACGACGAGGAGGTCGAACACAATCCACCGGCTGACGTCAACGGCAGCGCCAGACCGCCCAGTGACGAATTCGGCGTGCATCCGTTGGCCAAACTACAGCTCTCTACTTCCGAACTACCAGGCAAGCATAAGCTGTCGACAGCTGACAAATTCAGCGACGGATTGGTAGTCGTCGTAGTGCTTTGGAACAGGGTTGATGCGCCTGAGACTAGTAGAGCAGGTAGAGATGCATCCTGTAGTAGTGATGGGGGAGAGTTTGATGTTGATTCTGATTCACACGGGCTTGTGTTGACTTCCCCTGATAATCTGGAAATAATACAAAAAGTTTCATATAAAAAAACATTACCGAAAATCAACATATGTCAATTAAGTAGTAGTGGAAAATAATCTCTTTCTCCCACCTGTCGCAGTTAGTATTAGTGAAATATTCCAGGGTAACTTATTTTTTATTAAGGACTTTACATCTTGATCTGCAAAACTAGTTTATTTTTTTAATGATACCTTAAGATGGGATAAACAAGTCGTGCGCTTATTGTAAAGCGACTCGCCTGTCTATAGTAGTTTCAATTTCAACAGAATTTTAAATCGCAAAGAGCTGAGGGACACTGCCAGTGCGCCTGTCACCCTATAACTTGACAAGTCCAATGTGCCTGTAATTGCACCAACACATCCTTCAAAACCGGAGCGCAGTTACGCTCATATTACTACTTGACGGCAGAAATAGGTAAGATCGCAGTACTTCCCTGAATAAACTCCTTCACAAGAACTACTTGGCCGGCTACTTCTACTAAAACTACTAAAAAAATGTTTGCAAATATTGTTGTTGTTCCTTTTGTTCTTTTGCAATTCTCATAGATACCTTAAAATAGTATATGTTGACTTGGTTAAATAATTTGGCGAACCATAGTCAGGTTCTAGTTGAAAATCCGTGCTGTGCACTCTAGGTCTGCATAACGAATACTGAGGGTCCTCACCACACGACTGTGTTTTAAGCGTAATTATATTTTACTAGTGTAACCAATGTCGTTGTATTTTGTTTTTAGTTCAGGTTTTAAAATTTTGATTTTTTTGTATTGTTTTTTGTGTGGCAATTAAATGGTTTATAAATTCACAGAGAGCGAAGTTAGCGAAACTTTTTTAGCATCGACTCAAATTGAACAACGTACGGAAATTACCCGACCATTCCTCAACTGATTCTGAAAAAAATATAATTCTTCAAGTCATAAAGAAACTCAAAGTTTGAATTCCGATCTGTAGTAACCTGAAATAATTGTGACCAGAAGGCATCATGTTAAATTTACGAGAAAAATATTTCATTGCACATCATCCGCCGCGATGAACGTGCCCGCTATACTCGAGCCAAACGGCAAGTCGCGAATGGCAAACGCCCGGGCGAAATGACTTTCATCCCTTGGAGTATGGGCCGGCCACTGAAGTGGGAAGCCACGTGTGCCGACACACTTGCCCCATCCTATCTCCAGCACACCAGCAAGAGGGCTGGCTCCTCTGCAGAGCTGGCGGAAAGAATATAAAGTAATAAGTACCAGACCCTCGGCTCCGACTACCTATTTACAGCCTTTGGAGCAGAAACCCTTGCCCCTTGGGGTCCCGGTGCCCTTCGTGTGTACAAAATTTTATCCAAAAAATTAAAAGACAATCTGGGAAACTTAAGGGGCGGGAGCTACCTTGCCCTACTCATTAACATATACATACAAAGGGGTAACGCTGCTAGAATCTTGAGCACTTTGCCGCGGGGACCCAATTTTATTCATATAATTTAATTCTAGTTTTACTTTCTAGTATTTAAGCTTTTATTGTACCTTATCTGTATATTATGAAAATAAAATAGTTTGTATAATTAACAAATGTATTTACAACTGAGAAAATATAACAATAAGAAAGACGATTGTGCTTCAGTGGCTTAAGTAGAGAATCGTCATTTAGTCTAAATCAAAAAAATATTAATTAAATATGTAAAACAACTTGAAGTTACAAAGTAGTATCCACCAACAGCATCACATAATGCTATCTTTTACACAGTCAAATAGGATAACTTTCCGTTTAAGTTACCCGCATTCCTGCAAACGGCTTGTGTTTGAACTAAACACTCATTAAACTCTAACACAAAACTCCCTCGGCTTAACACAACAAACGGAGTAAAAAATCCATTAAAAGATCTTCTGTTTACAGAGACGTGTCTTTTTATAAGCAACGCACTTAGGCTAAATGTCTTAATTGTCGGAAGGAAGAGAAACTTTTTTACAGGATTGTAAAATGTTCCCCTGCCTATTTTGGTGTCAGATTTTCGATGACGTTGTTATTGAGTAATAACCTTTTTTTCCTATATCCTGATAACAACTCAATTCAATGGATGGTTGTCAAGTTTAATGTAATATGCTGGTCCGCAGGTTCGCGATTACTTTATTTAAAGCTTGTTAGCCAATAATTTTACTCGAGCGGCCTGTGGATTACGTATACGAAACGAGCTGACAAACGCCCTACGCGTTCAATATAATAACGCTTTCAGGATACTGTTGGTACGACCAAGATGGTATTGAAAACACAATAGACACTTTTACTATATCTTATATTATTTTTCCTAGATCATGACTTCACTACAAATTGTACTCGGGTCAAATATGGCGGACCTCGCGAGGGCGCTCGTACATCCTGTCTTTTTAGAGTCAGTTGAATTACTTAATATGAGTCAGTTGAATTACTTAATATGAGATAATGAAATGACATTTATACCAATGTTACATTAATTTAATTACATATTTTTATTTTATTTAATTATCATAAGAAATATAATTTCACATAGCACTATAGAAAAAACTATAATAACAGTTGTTAAATGTTGAAATCAAGTAGAATTCTTTTTACAAATTAAATAGTTAATATTGTTTAATATTTTTATGATACTTTTGGTAGAATATGCTTTAAATATTTATTAATAATAATACAAATTAACTATTTGCTTTCAGTATAGTGCATCAGGCGTGTTCGCAGCGGCGCACGTAGACGGCTTTCAAGCGATAATACGGAAAAAAATAGTATCGCTTATGTTATGACTCGTGTCAGAAGTAGCCACAACAGCATCCTGAAAGTGGTTGCAGGCAGGTTTGATTGTCCAATTCTAAAGTACGGGGTTGGCCAAATCAATTCCGTTTTTTGTATTATATTAAGCGTATAGTATTTAAATTAATTTGTACTTTGTGACGACGACTGCCACAGCTTATTATTAATTTCCCATTGCTCATTTCAGAGTTCTCTCTGATAACTCCAAAAAAAAAGAAAATAAACCAGTTACAGTCTTTATCACCACCCTAAAAACCGACCGACAAATCATGCGATAAATCAAGCGACAAATCAAATTGAATGTTTATTTTAAATTATGGTTATTAAAACGAATCATCAAACACATGGCATAGTTTATCTAACAAACTGTTTACACGTGTTCAATTAATTTAGCTCGTTATCAGCTGCGCCTGCTACGGTCCTGTCAACGTGACAGATTTGACGTCATTCTCTTATTGAAATTGTTGAGTGAAACATTTTTTTATTGCACTTAAAAATCATTATCTGCTCAGACAAATACTTTGCAGTCCTGAATGCCTAGTACCATTTCTCCTTTGCTTCGTTATTTTTAGGACTAGAGGTCCTCTTTTCTTGTGAAAGAGACTATTTGTGCCGCCAAGCAGTAATATGAGTATTACTGCGTTCCGGTTTTGCAGAGTAAGGGTGCTGGTGAAATTACAGGCACATGGGACTTGTCAACTCATGCCTCAGTGTGACAGGCGTAGTTGCAGTGTTCGTCATATCTTTGCGGTTTAAAGCCATTGTGTGAAAATAGACATTTTACATTTAAAGTTTAATTTTGTTTAATTTATAATATCAAGTAACGGGACTATCAAGGCGTCCGCCTGATGATAAGGCTACACGCCTGTCCATAACAGTTAGAGTAAATAATTTTCACCAAAGATTAAATGAAAATGTTCTGTTTTTACATAATTTATCTATCTCGAAGACTGGCACTATAAAAAAAATTAAATAAACAGAGGTTCCAAACGCAAACTTTTTTTAATAATAATAACGTAACTATATATATCGACTCATTCGTAAATGTCATTTATCATAAATTCTCACGATGTTTTCCTTTAATATAATTTGTTACTCAAATAAAAAGGTTTACCATCACTGCTTCTTTGTTTACAGTTTATCTAATTATAAAAAAATCTAATTCGAAACTTTTAAAATATAAAAATATTTTAATATTTACATTATAGGCACTTTATTAGTCTCCCCGTGAGTTAATGACAGTTAGAAAAATACCAATTTATAAAGTAATAACTAACCGCACCTACTCATTAATGTGGTTTGTTAATAAAATTAAGTTAATACAAAATGAAAACTATACAGTTTTTTTTAATGAGGTCATCATCTATGCAAATGGTCAATATGACGACTTTTTATCAAAACACCTGTTTTATTAGCCAGACGAATATTATTGTTTTATTGCAGAATAATGTCTATGATTCATTGATTTGCAAAATTCATTTGACTATTTCGTCGCACGGCGTGTTCTTATAATACTACGAATGATGTCATTTTTATAATATTTAACATGTAAAAGTATTATTAAAATACGACTTTCTTTTGATATATTGGGCCCATGGGAACCCGGTTCCCTTTATCTGTACAAAATTTTATCCTAAAAATTAATAGACTATCCGGGACACCCAAGGGCCGGCAACCACCTTGCCCAATGAGTTAGCATAGCCATGCAAAGGGAGAACGCAGTCAGCATCTTGGCACCTTAACGCAGGGACCGAATTTTATTCATATAATTCTAAATCTTATTTTTAGTTTCCAGTAAGTATTTAAGTCTTTATTGTACCTATATCATTGACCTACCAATAAATGGACGTCGGGTTCGCGCTAAAAAGCGTACCGCACGTGTAGGGCGTTAAAATAGCATACAGAGCGTCAATCGCGCAATAGTCTTCGTTTGTTCAAGTGACAATCAATGTGCGGTTGTCAATCATGCAGTACCAATAATAATAACTTGTAAAAATTACTGCAGTAAAGTGTGATAACAGGATTTTGTATCATATTTTCACTAAACAAATATATTGTGTTATCATAGTTGTCATTTAAAAGTGTTGTTTTGTACAGTTTTGTAGTATTTAAATTATATATAACTGAATCATAAATATAAATTACAAAAGCACACGAAATAATGAAATAGCTAACTGTCCTTTTTCTATTCATTGCATGCGCAAAAGATGGAAAGAGACCCATTACGT